GTTAATTTGATGTAGAAACATGTTAAGGAACAGAACTTGTGCTAGAGTTTTTGAGACACCTCATCTCATATCAGGTCAGTTGGTCAGGTTAAGAGTCGGTAATTTGTATTTTGAAAGGAAATCTAACCGCTTTTACATCCTTATTATCAAGGCATCCATAAAAGCGAGGTGTTCATATGGCCCAAATTGACTGTACTAGGGAGTTCTATTTCTGGGGTGGAGACACTCCCTCATTTGGTCTAGAGAGGTATGTTGCCTTGTACAGGGAGGGCTAAGTTTCATTATGTTTTAAAGTAGACAGCAAGAATGTAAGACATGTAGAGACCTTCAAGTTGAAAATGTAAGTGATATAGATTGGAAGGAAGCATACACAATTGCCTTCAACTATACGGCATCTACCAAATTAAGGACCTTTCATTTTAAGTTCTTAAATCGGAGGATTGCCAAGAAGGACTTTTTTAAATAAAAATTAACCTCAAGCAATCTGTTAAATGTTGTTTTTGCCCACGAGAAATAGAGACCATCTCTCATCTATTTCTGTGCTTTTCTGCGACAAATTTTTTTTGGAACATTAAACAACATTAAACAATTTTTAATTCAAAAGTTGGAGGCTAGGTAATTAAGTGCTGTAGACAATCCGAGGCTTTCACTCCCTCACCTCCCCCTTTCCCCCAAAGGTAGATGGCCCAGTCACCTTAAAGTAGCCAGTTTTTAGCTGGTTGCCGCTACTTAATGAGAACCCTGACAGAGTATGGTTTTCAGGATCTTGAGTCTTCCCAACTATTTGGCATCTTTTTAAAACAGGGTGTGTTTTTAGACAGAAAGCCTTTAAAAGTGTGTGAAGGCTGTAGATGAGTGGTCTAGTCACATGATAATGGTATGAAAAATTACCTAATTCTGTATGCAACATGTAACTAATCAAGGATCCAGTTGAACCTTGATTATCCGGACTTGTTTCCCCAATTCTGTTTTTTCATGAATATTAATAAGATGTAATCTTGAAAAAGTGAAACGATTAAAAGTTCATTAATCCTTCCAAACATCAGTTTAAAACACTGTTTTAATCTGTTTTGAGTTGAAAAAGCGTGAGAGGTATGAGATGACCAATTATTCGGGTGTATTCAGCTGAATTCTGATTGGCTTAATTGTTATGTTGCTAAGGGAATGTCATGCTTGATTCCACGCTGGTTATGTAAACACAAGACCAATCGATGGTAAACTCAAATCACGGCCACGTATACACAACAAAAGCAGTCTCTTCTTTCGATAAAGGATAAGCAAATGATAAGCCATGATTTCACATTTGGAGAAAGGCGAAAAAGGAACAAATTTAGCACTCAAGTTTAAAATCAGCAAGCAGCAGATCTCAGATATATGCAAAAACAAGGACAAGATCCTGAAGTTCATCGACAGCAACGAGATGAGCGAAGGATTGAAAATACATAAAATACTTACGGTCCGAACATAAATTCAAGTAGGAGCTACAATAAGTCACAATAAAATTTTGTTTTCTTTATTCTGCATGTTTACATTACTGTTTCATTAATATTCATATTCATATTTTCGTTAGTGTTCTCAATAATATCCAGACTATTTTATTCAAGTCCCAACAAGTCTAGATAATCAAGGTTTAACAGTATAAATAAGGTCTCATCTGAAACATGGTCAAGTTTTAAAGGCTTTGGGAGCTCACTTCTCCCCAAACTTTCCTTGAGTGTTAAGCTTGCCCAAAGACTAAGATGTTATTGGTTGAGTTTAATACCCCAGATCTCTGAGGAGCTTAACACCTATGTGTAACCTATTACTACACATTTTTCAGCAACATGGCCTTGAAAATTGAAGCAACATAAGACTATATGAAATGGTAGCATAGCAAGTGACAGAAACATGGGTATATACCAACCGCGCAGAGGGACATGGCCTACCCCCCAAAATGGAAAATGAAAGTATTTGAAAATGAGACTAGGGACATACGTAGCCCCCCCCCTCCCTCCCCCATACTTGTCCAACGCTCCAACCAACTCATGCATAGCTTTGTTAAATTTCTAATTGTTTTGCTTCGTCCTTTATTGTTATGCTTTTGTACATGTACAATATTGTAATGTGAGGACAATACAATATAATGCCATGCATAAATTTGTCAGAGTATTGGACAACAATTCCCCCATCCAAGAGGGCCTCTTTTAACTGCACCCCAAATTAAGCACCCTATATTATATCAAGTGAACGAATGGGTCACTTTGTTTGAAGACTTTCTTCCCATTTTTACTGTAAAACGAACCTGTATTCGGGGGATACCAACTAAGGTCACGTGGGTATCACAAATTACAGGTTTCAGAGTGTAGAATTCAGGGGAAGGGCTGATTCGATTAAAACATTAGCTTAATCCATTCACTAATATTATCTGAATATTTCATGCTCAAGATACCAACATTTTCTGTGTTATAGCCTTAAACATTTAGTTATTATAAAAGCACGAGCATACCTCACAAGACCGGTGTGGGATTTTAAAACGACTACTGTCAAGCCAGGTCCGTGAATTTCTTTGCCATAAATAAAGCCAAGTGTTGATGAATAAGTTGAAGATCCGATGGAGGTGATATACGAGTACCTGGAGTCTAAAAATGTCACTTTAGGTCCAATTTAACCACACTCGTGTTATGAATGCTCCGCCGCCATATTTGTCTCTTTTTTAGTGCCCAGTCTCAATCAGCGCGCGAGTTTCGCGCGCGAGCTTTCAGAAGACTCGTTTCGCGTTTCCCGAGTACTCGATCGAAAACGCGATCAAACGCAATAGATTTTTTTCATGAAATTTCAAGGCTTATGGGTAAGAAAAAAGTAAATCTTATTCCTAACAAATAAGTAATGAAACCAGCCTCTTGACAAACTAGAAAGTTGCATACCTGTACGAGGGCAAAATATGGTTCGCGCATGCGTTGGAAATGATCCACGATCTTAAACTTGTGGGGCATAACGAGGTTACAATCAACGATAAGTAAAAGAGACAGGCTATTTCCCATTTCACCTTGAACGTTTCATCCAGCTTTATACCCTGGACACCAAGGCCTCTCGGTTTTCAATATTGCGTCAGGAGAACGAGAAGGTCGCATATGATTGTTGCATATATCTGCTTGGTTCCGGCCATCGTAGCGCAAACGATGAACAAGCAAACTGACGTCGGTAAAATAACCTTCGTGTCTCCTCCGAATTTGCAGAATTTGAGGGAAAAACCCTTGAAGAACCTCTTTGATAATGACTCCGTCTGAATGCGAGGACTGTGAACATCATACTGATTGTGATAATCAATGTAGTGAGAGTGTTTTGCACATTTAGTCTGTGTACAGACCCCGCCCCTCCCCTCAGAAAAAATCGATTTTTTCTGAGGTGAGGGGAAGGTCTGTACACAGGCTATTGCAGATGTTGTGCGATAAATATCCCATCAGATCAAACAGTTGAAAAAAAACTCTTTCGGTAAAAGGAGGGCGGAAAGTTAACAACATAAAAAGTAGTACAATAGAGACCGATAAAGCCCTTTTTTGCCCAAGAATATTATTATCTTGCACTGGAAAACATCAGAGCCAATAACCGCATATTCTTGACTTGCGCAGAATTCAATAACATCAGTGACATCATAACCTTTTTTCTTGTCATTAACTTGTTCAGGAATATATTAATGTCAATCGCGTCATAGCCCTTTGTCTTTATGTCATAAATAAATGTCCCTAGAATATCATTAACTTACGCAAATACATTATTGCAAGTGACGTCATAACCTTTTGTTCTTTATCGTATGACCAGGAACTTTAGCCTTTTTCTTATGAATAATATTTGCAGGAATCTCATAAACTTGCGCAGGAATATATTAACGACGATGACGTCATAGCCTGTTGTCTTCGTCTTATGTATAAAATTCGCAGGAATCTCACTAACTTGCACACGAATACATTAATGCCAACGACGTTATAGCCTTTTGCTCTTTCTCGCGTTATAAAAATGCGCAGGAATCTCAAACTCGCACATAAATAGATCAACACCAATGACCTTTTCGCATGATCAAAATTCGTAGGAATCTCGTTAACTTGCACTGGAATTCGTAAACGACTATGACGTCATAGCCCTTTGTCTTAATTCGCAGGAATCTTACTAGCTTGCGTAGAGCTACATTTACGCCTTTGACGTAATAACCTTTTATCTTTATCTCATGAAAAAAATTCACAGAAATCTCATTAACTTCGCAGGAATGCATTAAGGACGACGATGACGTCATAGCTGTTTGTCTTTATATCATGAATAAAATGCAGACAAAAATCTTATAACTTGCGCAGGAATATATAATAGCCGATGTGGGACGGGGAGCGAATCTCATTAAGATACGTGATCCAACCGCTTACAAGACGCTGATAACAGGGAACATGAGCAACGAAAACGATGACGTCCGCCAAAAATGGCCAGCGGAAGTTGATATTTTCTCTCTTTCAGTGCTCTGACTCGACAAATCCCTGCAACGGAAGTTATAATGAAGGCACTCTGATTCGTTGTGTGAGACAGAAGCGTTCCATCAAGCGAGACATCGAACTTCCGCTTGCTATTCATGACATCCGTGACGTCAGCATTCTCGTTGCTCATGCTCGCTTATGATTTTTAGGACGCCGATCACTTTTAGGGTTTACAGGTTAATAAATGATCACCATTTCTTTTTTTTTTTTGTAAAAAAGTTTTATTATCACAACTTGGTCAAAAATTATACACGTCCCGGAGTATTGTTAAATCCAGTCCTTACTACAACAGCTACATTTACTACTTGTCAGTGCTAAGTATGAGCGTATTTACAGCCTACAGATCATACTTGTTGCTACTCTACCTTGAATAACGCATGCATAAATAAATATCAGGATACAGATTTTACTACAATAAACTGAACGAAGACTATGTACAGGTTATACGTTAATTCAGAATATCACACTTCTTGGGTGCACGTTAATAATACATGTAACTCTTCTTTAGTCATCCAACTGGCAAAGTAGAGCCACACCACGCATGATCCAATGGGACTGTGGCTGATCAGATGGCAGGCGCATGTCCATCACAAAGTTAGTGGAGTGGCCTGTGGTAGAGAGCGTACCTCTTCTCTCGCTTGTTTTGTAAACAGGGGCGACATAGTGCGGCCGATCAACAATGTCTTCCTTCTTGCAGGGTTTGAGCCACATAACAGGCATGCTGTCATACAAAGCTTTCGGGTGCGACTCTCCAATCACTCTCTTCTCTCGATCCCATCGAGAGCCTTCCATGAACAAGCCATTAACATAGACACCGTCCTCGGGTGGAGTGTCATAATTCTTGTCGTCAAGAACCTCGAAGTCAAACGTTAGGAGATCAATAGGAATGGTATATTTTCTGGCGTAGTTCTGCTTTGATCCCGTTAAGAAGGCCTGAGTGAAGAAAAATCCAGATACCCAGAACACAGGAGGCGCTCCGTTGTCATACCACTCTTGGAGAAACTTGAGGCGAGCAATCAGATCGTTGACGTAACTGCCGAGTGGTTTAAGAGAGGGATAGGACTTCTTCATCCACAGACCAGGGATTTTTCCTTTAAGGATGCCACTCGCTACCTCCTCTAGTTCAGAGGACATAACAACCAGGCCCTGTGGAACAATGAAAAGGAAACATATAAAACTTCGGGTTAACTGACTAAGTGAGTCCCATTCCTAAACACGCAGCGAAAACTACACCCTGTAAGTGCGCATACCCCGTGGAAAAAGAAGCAAAATATATACCAGGCAGGGAGGGGTAAGAGGAAACGGTAACATGTCTCTACCGACGGGGTAAGGTATGCGACGAAAGGTAATATTCTTCCGCCAGGAATTTAAATATGTATAGCTCGGGTAGATTTCCTTAAGACACAAGTGCAGTGTGCACTTGTCCAATGAACGAAACATGATTTGAAATAACAGAGGTTGTCTGACGTACTAATTCCACCTCAGGGGAAACTGTATTTACTTTCAGTCAGCGACAAGTTCGAGAGGGTTCAGTAATACAGTCAGCTCTCTTCTAATAAGTAACAGTTACAGACACCTAAAGTAAGTCATTTTCAGTCATTTTCTCTGACTCTCTAAAAGGCGCGCAGACACTTCCCGTCGCAATGGCGTCTGCCTTAAGGAGGGTTGACTTTAAAGGAATAAAGACTCTACTCTAAGTTTAGTCAAAACTTCTAACAAGATCTCTATAAAAAATGCTTCACTTCATCTTAAATTTCATTTACCTTAATAGCTTTTTGTATGTTGATGAGCGAAGATCGCACGACTTCTGTCAGCCTATTAAACCTGACCATTTCCTGCACCAGTACAGTGTTCATACTCTGGGTATACGTGGTGGGGTATTTCCGCAATGCAGCTTCCGTGTCAAAGTTCTTAGGCAGCTTCTGCAAAATATCCTCAGCCACCCCGAAGAGTATCTCGTCGTCGGATTTTCCACCTTTGGCTGAAGCTCGAGACTGCGTCAAAAGGATGCTGTTGAACAGCTGTTGGGTTTCCTGTTGGTCCTTACTGATGTCTGCGTTGGCGTGCATTCCAAATACCTCAGGATGCGCAATGAGCGGAAGGCTGCGTGCATACTCGATGTACGATTCGTAGTCGCCTTCTTTGGGAGCAAAGTAACTGCCGCTTGGTGAAAACTTGTAGTCTTCATTGTCGTTAATGGCCGCGCAGTAGAATTTATCCAGGATAGTCAACAGGGTTCGTCTATCACGGTCATCAGTTACACGGCCTCCGTAGTTGCATTCTCCCGTGAGGTAGCTCAGAGCAGCGTACTGGACGTCCTGTAAAAGCAAAAACATGCACCAGCGCACATTAAAATAGTGATGAAGAAACCTGTAGAGCGTTTTCAGACCGGTTCGGGAAACCAACATGGCCGCCGTTTCATTGTTTTGGGACACCAATATGGCCGCCATGACGTCATGTGAAAACAGTCTATATTCTCTATTTTCCAATTCCCCATAATACGCTCTGTTTGCCCCCCAAATTTTGCATAAACCATTGTTTTTAAATGCTCCTGGGAGTATTGCATTTTCCCAAGAGCATTTTAAGACAATAAGTTATGCAAAATTTGGGGGGCAGACAAAGTGTATTATGGGGAATTGGAAAATAGTCAATACAGGTGATTCGCTCTGAAAGGACACCTCTGTAAAACGGACACCCAGAGTTGGTCCTTGCCTTTCTTTACTCCCTATAATTGACTCTCTATAAGACGGACATTACTCTTAAACGGATACTTTCTGACTGTGCGCCTAATGTCTAGCCCCTAGGTGAGAAAATCGTTTTGACGTATAGCTGGATAGTAAGTACTTTTCCCAGTAACGCTCGTCTACAATGGAAACTTCGAGATTAAAAGAATCTGACAGTGGAACTGTTTCTCACTGCACGTCATAAATGACGTCGTAAACATCTATGACGTCATGCATAGTGCCAAAGAGAAACGGTGGATATTTTGAGTAGTAGTTAAACCATCCCAGTAGAACACTTACATCATATTTATTCATGAACATGTGCAGTTGTCGAACACTGATACGCAGATCAGTTTCGTTGAACTCATACGGAATGTTCCAGCCCAGAGGACCAAACTGACGTCGTTCTTGGACGATGGCGTGGAAAAAGCACAAGCCAAACAACATTTTCTTGAACTCTTTCTGTAAGGGAAAAATCATGAAAACGTCGTTGACATGTATCCATGCACTAAATGAAAGCCACTAATAAGCTCATTCCTGCGTGCTGTTTATTACGCTGTACCGGGTTCCAACTTTTTAGTTTGTGGATTTAAATAATCCTATGGTGTGACCATTTAAATGAAAGCTACCGAGCAGCACTTTCCTGTGGTACTGTTTAAAATGCCGTACAAGGTGGTTCTAACTTTTGAGTCAGTGGAACGCGACTATTCAAATGAAAGGTGCTGCGCAGTCTGTAGTATTGTTAACTATGCTGTACAAGTGCTTCCAAATATTCCGTCTGTGGTTATAACTTGGAAAGCCTTCCACAATACTCTACAACAAAACGCGACGCTTAAATGTATAAGAAAAACTTGGTGTACGTTACTGACCGGTTTGTTACAAGTAGTGAAGAACTCAGGGTCCGAGATGGGGTCACTCAAGTACGATCGTACTATATTGGAGCGAAGTCCCTTCGGAGGCTCGTTCGTCATCTTGACGCCATTCTGCAGCACGGACACTGGAAAGTTTGGTGACGGGTAACTTGTCAGCCACAGACGGAAGTCCGGGTGTGTCGCGTCTGGATTGAACTCCTGTAACACGAGTAAAAGGAATCGAAGAACATTTGAATATCAGTTTAAGTTATTAAAGCGCTGGGTTACTGAGTCAATCACAATGTCAACGACCGCATTTATACTAGGGGTGTTACGAGGGAAGAACGCATTTGCGCCTTACTTAAAACGGTTACACCTCGGCATGGCTAGGACGACAACGGACAAGAGTTGATGCCATCTCTATTAACACTTCAATATAACATCCTCACCCTAAACCTAGTACTTGTTGCTAAACACAATGACAAAAGCTTTTGCTTACAAAGAAATTGACTGCGCGGAAAAGTGTAATATTTTTCATCACTCAAGTCAAAATCTTCATGGAGAGCGCAGTAGCATACGCTCTTGACGTAGTTTAAACAATTTTCCGGAATACTGCAAAGATTTTCCGAACAGTGTCAATGCGTTAACCAGCAGTTTCCGGATTTTCCGAATATCTTGTAAGACTGCCGAGAACATTACGTCATACCCCCGGGGATGATCCGAAGAAGTACACAATCAAAGTTAAGACTAAATTACTTTACCTCACAGACTTTCTCAAGTGTTGGCATCCACGAAGTTGCCAAATGGCAGTTCTGTAGTACTACCCACGTGCCATCCTTGATAGCTTTTTCTATCATGCGCATGGCAATTGGACCTTGTCCCTGACCCAGTGATAGTGAGCTCAATTTTGATCCACTGAAACCCTGTGACAGATAAAAAAACAAGACTGTCAATCAAACCTATTCATTCCTACAGCTTATTATACAGACATTCTTTCCTACGCAGAGTTCTCTTTGTGTCATAAGGAGACTCAGGAGAGAGAAAACAAAGCGCGTGGGAGACGATGGGAAGGGAAGAAGGGAGGAAGAGCCGTCTTTTCCCTCTTCCCATCGTCCTTCGCGCGCTAAATATTTTTCATCATTGAAACAAGAATGGTTATTTGCTCAAAAGTCGGGGACGAAGAAGACAAAAAATTTGAGCTGTGATTTTACAATTTCGACCCAGTCCCATTATTAAAAAGATATAGATTAAAGACCCCTCCACGGTCTTTTTTATTTCAACTTTGATATGTATATGTACTAGTACTGGAAAAGCAGTAAAGCTGCCACTTTTTCCCATTGAAATGCTGAAGTGTTTAAGAAATACAGTCCCGCAAATTGAGATCTTTCAAAAACGTGGGGGAATGAGAAGAAAGTGTAGAACAACAATAGTGAGACTGTTCCGCACCAACCTGATCATCAGCGAACTTGAGCAGCGCGGCTGTAGGATCAGATCCAGGCGACAGTACAAAGATCAGAGGTGCACAGCAGTTGGAATCAGCGAAAGCTTTGCCCAGATCAAACGGAGGTGGCTCAATAAACTGTTTACCAAGCTTGACAGTAACAAAGTCTTGCACTGCGGGCGTGATCTGAAAGGTAAACATAAAACTAATTTGGTATTTGCAAAAGGCAACTCAAAATTACTAAAGAAATCCTTGGCAAGACCTTTTAAGGAAGGCCTAGCATTCAGATAAAGGAGTGCAGCGCGAAAGTCAGCCCCCTACCCCACCCCTTCGCTGTTTTACCCGCTCATATCTCTTTGCGACGTCCGCACAATCCGAACGCCGTGAAAAGGATATTTTCGGTCCTATGACGTTTAACAGAGGAGATGCTTGATCGTAGCAAAATTTTATATAACAATTACACGACGAATAGTACAAAGACGCAAAGCTTTCCTTCCATGCGTTTTCCCGGGGATGGAGATAACGCTAGTCTCTCGACTGTTTCTGGCTCTAAGAAAATAGGAAAGGCGGCTCGAGAAAAATTGTAAGAAACAACGTGGGCGCTGGGAAGAGACCCCCCCTCTCTTCCCGCCATTTTACGCTCGCTCGCTAGCTTTTTTCTCTCTTCTGCACTAACCAAGAGCTACGCAAATGCTAGCTAGACACAAAAGAGCGTATTCTTTCCAGATGCAACGGACGAAGACGTTTCTGAGACTGTAGTTTCCGTCCACACACACTGGTCGAGCAAACATTACGTTACTATAATGAAGAGGAAGAGTGTACTAGTTACAAACCTTGTCTGGACGAAGGCAGCGCAGAATCACCATTTTCTGAAACTGGCCAAGTTTCTCGTTCCAGTCTCCTGGCAAAGGCTCGTTCTGAGGTTCCTACAAAAAATTACAAAAGCAACATTTGTAGTTAAAGAGTATAGACTGTATAACTTTCAGGAAATTTATTTTCCTTCTTGATTTTGTTGTTCGTTTGAAAGGGTACGATAAACTTCATATACCGTAAAATTCCGAAAATAAGCCCCTTCGTGTATAAGCCCCTCCAAATATAGGCGCCCTAAACCCGTAACGCGAAAAAAAACCCCGTTAAATCGCCCCTCCACATATAAGCCCCCCGGGGGCTTGTACTTGGAAATTGCCCCCAAATACAAAGTAAAACAAAGCAAAAACGGTAAATTTCTTTTCAGCTATAAGGCTAGACAATCGATTTTGAAACGCAAATTTCCCTCCGTAGATAAGTCCCTCCGAATATAAGCCTCTCCAAAAATAAGCCCCTCAAAAAGGGCCGTTGAAAAATATAAGCCCTTGGGCTCATTTTCGGAATTTCACGGTATATCAATAATATATCACGGTATACTTACATTACTATCGTAAATCTTCTTCCATCCTTCCAAATGCTTTGGAAACTTTTGTCGGAATCCCTTAAAACTGCAAGGCACAAAACACGTGCAGAAAGGAGTGAGTGAGTACAGAAACGAATAAGTGAAGGAGGGTCTAAGTTACTTTAGGTGCTTTTGGCTAATTGTCGAAGCGATGTGTAGAGAAAACGGAAAAAAGAAACCCGAAAACAGAACGCAGAAAGTAGGAAGCTGAAATCAGAGAGTGGAAGACGAAAATGGAATATAGAAAGCAGATATCAGGAAACTGAAAACAGTAAAAAGAAACCAGTGATCAGAATAAAAAACAAAACAGAACAATGGAGATTTTACAAACAAAAAGTAATTTTGGCTGGACTGGGGAACTGTTAGTCTTCTTCGCAGCCGCTCGGACCGGAGTGACGCAATGCTCACCCTCGTGGGGGCGAGGGAGCATTGCGTGACTTCGGCCCGGGCGGCTGCGATCGAGACTAAGGAACTGCAGTTGTAAAGGGAAATGAAGAGTGCAACTTACGGAGATAAGTCATCCAGCCTGCACAGCTCGTCCCAGGACCTCGACGGCAGCCACGAAGAAGGGTTGGAATGTGGGTTGTCCAGGCCCACTCCGCCAGTCAGAAGGAAACGCCATTCATTATCACAGACTTCTCCTTTGCTTTTCAGAAGATTGACGCACAACAGGAACGAGAATAGCAGCTGAAAAAAAGGTAATTTGGTAACAAATTAGACCCTTTAAAAGTATTTTTCATTTTGAATACGGACCAGTTAGTAAATATCCATCGACAATGCTAGAAGGAGCGCCTCTGAAACCTGCTAAGTTTGAAAGTGTTTTGACAGAAACGAGCAAAAATAAAGCTCTACAAAGTCGCGAAATTGAACAGACGTTGTATGATGGGGGCCAAGTTACGAACACCAAAACTGCATCACAAAAAAATTCTGCATCCTGACGATCATTTCTTCATTTTCAGATCATTTCCGCAGTTCATATATGATTTATTTCATATATCATTAACACTCATTTCTTTACCGGTTACATATGAACCCACAATTGACCTGCTCCCAACGTCAGTGGCTTCATAGCTCAGTTGGTAGAGCGTCGCACTGGTAATTGTGAGGTCACGGAAGTCCTGACTATTTTTTTTTTTCAGGCTTCTTTACGCAATTGCATAAATTGCGTTCACTGCGACGATCATTTCTTCATGTCAATATTTCACGACTTTGCAACTTTGATAGTTTTCAACATATCACACTCAAACTTACCAGCTAAGAAGGGGTAAATAAATGTATTATCCAAGAAACTTACCTTGTCTTTTTCAAACAGCGAGCGGCACACGTTACAATACAGTGAGTAGGTAAAGTGATCCGTCAGATTCGTCAACCTATAAACGCAATGCACATTACATTGTACCAATGTAAGTTCACTATTACAGCAATATAAGTCCACTACTGCACCAATATAGGTCAACTATTGCACCGATATAAGAACACTATTACTCCGATATAAGTCCACCATTGCAAGTAAATATCTTGAGCTAAACCATTTGTTCATGTCTAACCTCCTAGCTCAGTCAGTTAGAACGCTCGAATATCTAATCGCGAGAACGCGAGTTGAAATCTGCCAGAATTTTTTTTTCAACGAAACTGGAAACCTTACATCTTTGAAGCTTTCTGCTGTACGTTTTTGAATTTTTACTGAAGGTTCCACAAACCACTAACGCTTAATTGGAGATCATTATTTCTAGCGCCATCAATCTATTGGTACCGAGGGACACTAAAGAAGTGGAACCATCCTTCCCCTTTCAGAATCTTACCGTTGCTCTAAGACTTCGGATTTCTCCGAATTGTCGATGGACAAAATGAAAAGATTGATGAACCAGGTGAGAGAGTACTGATACATGGGTTCGATATTGGCCAGGTCAGCAATGGAGAAGAACAACACGGCTGAATGGGTGGCGATGGGTGTGTAACCCATACGGGTAGTGTCTATCTTCCGCTCTGTCTCATCAGCTATGGCCTAAATCAAAAAGCAAAATAGCTCAAATAAAACCAATACTAACTGTTTAACTGCGTGACGACACTAAAAACGGCTGTGTGGCAGACTAGAACACAAGCAGGCGTTCCCTATTTACGAACCGTTCTCTCTCCTTATTACAGAGGAAGCATCGAAAGAAATTCGGTTGGGCCACTTCCGAGTTCCGAAAACTCTCACTTGTAAAACGGAAGAGTGCAAACCCTTTCTGGTGAAATGAGTTTTATCTGCATGACAAGCGAAAACTTTCAGACATTATAGCTTTTAAAGCGGAGGCTTTAAGCAACTCGGAACTGTGGGGACATTGATTTAGAATGATGGTAGTTTTTTGTCATATGAACACGGCGTGTATAGCCTAAACCAGTATTAAAGTGAACCCTATACATAAAAGCAACCATTGTGGCTCTTAATCTACACCAGGCAACCAAAAGGCACATTAAGCAAGAGAGGTACAAGAGTGAAGACAAACCTGCTTCTCCGATATTTCGTTCGCCAGCACCTTGGACGAGGACAACACGTTGATTGCAGTCTCATCTTCAAGAATGTTCCCCTCAGAAGAGGACAGGACTTCCAAAATCTTATCTTCAATCTCTTTCAGTTGTCTAGATAGGAGTAAAACAGGAAATAGTTATTATCTAATCAGTAGCACCAGCAGCAGAAGTAACGCCGAAACAAATGCGAAAGCAAGGCCGGGGAACCTGCAAAAGAACAGTACACAGCATAGTCACAGGGGTAGATCCAGGATTTTTCTTACTAGGGAGTGTACCACTAAGGAATGACGTAACTGACTGGTGACGTAAACAAATTTTAAAAGCGAATACAAAGAAGAAGGCTTTTGAATAGGCAATAACATAATGTGAACGGCTGAGAATTACCAGTTGTATTAGAAAGCCGCAGGTCATCTCAGAGGGGGAAGGGGTACGCACCCCCTGCACCCTTCCCCTAGATCCCCCTCTGAGTCAACAGTACCTTTTATTCTCAGCGCTCTGAATAATCAGTGCATTCTTCTCTTCCTCGAGCTCAGGCCTCTCTCGTGCCACAACAATTCCGAGTAGCTGATCCTCGAGTCCCTCGGGCGTGATCATAAAATTCAGCAGAGTCACCTGTAGTTAAAACGCGATACATAAAATTATTACACTAAGCATTATCGGAACTTGATGGGCAAAAATAAAGTCGAAAGGGAAATCTAAAATATGTGTCAAAGCCGACTGGTACTTGAGATACGGTATACGAACCTTCACGGATGTCTCTGGTAGGTAGTGTGGATTTCTCAGTTTTGTTGTTATGTAGAACCTAAAACATCAACAACAATCGAGTTAACAGAGTAGAGTACAGAGAAGGGCAGGGTTCTTTCAACGGATTCAGAACTACCGAGCGTAAAACAGAGAGAGATATGGGTACGAGTTTAGTTGAGGGTGGCAAGCGAAACGACAATAATCGCAACAGGCTCAGAAGATAATATGAACTAACCACATTAAAGGAGCCAGTACCAAGCGAGCTAAACATCTGTAGGAAAGCTTAATGTGATTGGTTTTAACTTTTTCTTTTCATTGGTTAAGAAAATAACGTAGCTTTGTCATCCAATCACAAGGCGCGCTATGCGAATGCAAAATCACCTACTCTGGACGCACAAATGGCAGTCGATTTAGACAACAAATAGTTTGCGGTAAGCAACCCTTGTTTAGAGAGATCTAAAAACGAGGGGTGGGGGGGGGGGGGGGGGGGGAAAACTCAAAATTGCTTGGGGGGACTTTCATTTTTGTAAAAGCGACAAAAAGTGAAACCCAAGGATCACCCGCAAAAAATGACCGCGGGGATAGTTAACAAACTTCCAGTAAATTTTCTGAATAATAAAGATAAGTGTGTACAACGTAACGTAGAAGCAAGAGGAGAATACAACGAAAAACATAAGTGAAACAATAAAGTGTGAGTAAGATAAAGGTGAGGTTGTGGTGAGATAGGAGACGGTGGGGAGGAGGGGGTGATGGAGGGAGGAGGGGGGGGGGGGGGGGAGGAAAAGTCAATGATGCTTGGGTGCATCTTCATATTGTCACAGCCAGACAAAAGTCATACCCAGAGAGCATCGGCAAGAAATGATCTCGTGGTATGTTGGAACACTTACCTGAAATCTTTCGAGTACTCAATGACGCTGTCTCCAAGTTTGATGCAGATGCTGCCGCCCTGTTTGAAGGTCTGTTTCAAAAGCAGCGGCTCCAACAGTGGGTCCAACTCTTCACCAACGTTTTCAAGTAAAACCTGATGAATAAATGATGAATGATGATGTAGCCTGGGGGAACAGCCAATATTTTGAGACGCACTGGTTTCCCCGTCTGAGGACCGAGCGCGGAAATTCCATACTGATGACGTGTTACTACACAGACCTTGGTTGTGCTTACGATTGGTTGAAAATTTGCTTCTGCCAATCAGAATTAATACCCAGATCTTGGTAGTGACACGTCATCAGTATGGAATTTCTGCGCTCGTTCCTCAGGCTTCACCGCTGGAAAATCATTGGTGACCTCGCAAAACTTGATGATGTCGGCTGTTTTCTTAAGCTATGATCGATGTTTTTTTTTTCTCTAAATGAATTACCCGTTATTTGAATAGGCTTAACTTCGGAGAATTAAAACTGAAAAGTCAAAAAGAAGTCGTTCATATTCCTGAGCAAAGACGGAGAGAAACAAATGGGCATTTCTACAAACCTTAAAAACAAAGGGAAAACAATCCTTCGTTTAAAAACTGAACCAGTCTTGCTTATTCATCTAAATATATCCTAGTACTTATGCTGGAGATTTTCATGACGCGCAAGGTTAAAATAAAACAAGGCCTTATGAAAAACAACAGGTAAACGCGCATAAGTAAACATTCACAAGATAAGAACAAGACAGGAATTCAGCAACTTAAATAGACAATTGAGCTGTTGTCAAGATAACTTACGGGAGTTCCAAACTGAATGCAGTTTTCCAGGGTCCTGACGTAATCGGCGTCCGTCATTTTAATCACGTGTAAATTGTTCTTCTTTTCCATGTTTTTCACCCACTTGTTGGCCTGTCCTTGTGGATCAATCATCAAACTAAAAATTGTTTATAATTATTTTTTTTTTTTTTTTTTTTTCTTTTTTTTTTTTCATATTTTTGGAACCTTTTTCCCAATTTCCCTTCTTTGCCCCGATATCTAGTCGGAAATATCCTTCGCCTCTTCGCCGCCCCCCCCCCCCCCCCCCCCCCCCGCCCCTACACAACGGGAGGCAAAACGTCCCGTTGGGGGGAGGGAAGCCGTAAGATATTTCAGACTACGGGATATCCTATGTGAATGGCTGAGGCGAGGAAGAATATATGAAATGAATAATGAGCACCGTTAATTACCTGATGATGATACCATTCTCAATAGAGAAACTGTCGGTTGGTAGACCAGCTATGTTCCAGTCCCTTATCTTCACAGGGTCTCCCAAAGTCCCGGTCACCGAGAAGTCATTTGAACAGGGGATGTTGGTGTCGCGGCAAGCTTTCACCCATTCTACAGTTTGTTGCTGGCAAGAAAAAACAAGAGAAATCATTCTGTGATCAAGAGCTCAGAGAACTGGAAGATGATGGTATTGAAGGAGATGCACGCCAGCCTTAATAAAAATCCTTTGCCTCTCAATAAAGCTTTTTGAGTTACCGATGGGACGACAGGTAAGATGGGGAACAAGGGTGGCACGAGTATAATCCTTGGAGCAGATAGGAATACCTAAACCTTTTCTCAATACACCATAATACTGACTCTCGTCGATTTAAAATGAGCCACAAAAATGAACAAAACTGGAGTAAAAAGAAAAAATGAAGCAAAACGTATGGCGCAAGTTAAGAAGTCAAGCTGGGGTGTATTAGCAAGAGGTGACTGTTCTAATCGACAACCCACTCGAGCTCTGTCAAAAAAATAAAGGGGGAAAGAGCCTGAGAAAACAGCCACGACGCCATAACTAGTTTCCCCGCGAAATGAGTCTGATAAACAAACGCGCAAAATTCCATACTAATGACGTGTTACTTTCCAGATCTGGGTAAATACTTCTGATTGGCTCAAATAATTTCCTTCGCGGTGCAACCAATCAGAAGTTCCACCAAGATGTGGATAGTGACACATCATCAGTATAGAAATTCTGGCGCTCGTTCGCGGGGAAACCCGTAGTCTCTCACGCAAGCCGTTTTTGTTTCTTCACACAACGGTCGTAGACAAAAACGGCTGCGAGGGAGACTAGGAAACTAGTGGTGGCGTCGTGAAACATCGGCTGTTTTCCCACAGTGAAGAGAAAAAATCATGAGATTTACCTGTCTAAAGGCAGCTGTGAAAGCTCCTAAGTATGCCACTACTCCAGACGATACCAATACATCTCCAATGAGATTTGTAAACTTGATACCAAGCTGCTTGGCTACTTCAGTCCATCTGAAAAAAGTAAGTGGTGCACACAAACAGGTCACTACACGAAATGCAATACACACTTGTATTGCGCACCCAAGGTGGGACCTCACTAACGTTAAATAGATGAATAAGGTGTGTCTCTTACTACGATGATCTTCTTTGCATCTATTTTTTTGTTTTAATCTTTGGTAAATAATGAAACTGACCTTGTTTTTTCGCCTCCAAGTCCACCAATGAGTTTCTCTGCGCGCTCAAGTTTCTTCGTACAAAGATCAACCTACAAAAAGAAAACAGAAAAATGTTCGAAAGACTAGGAACAATTAATACTAACAAAAAAAAATCTATTACTCGATCCTACCTGTTTCTCTAAATCTGCCTTCTTCTTTACGTTAGCTTCGTACTTCTCTTGTAGTCGAGCCAGTTTGTCCTGAACCTCTTGAAGAGCGGATCGCTTCTTGTTGAGGCTCTGCCAAGAAACGAGAACATAAACAGTAAAAGTGTGTTTTCCAAGATTTCCATTTGTGAACTAGCCTCCCACACAGAAGTTCTTAGGGGCTTGTCACGCGTTCCTGCCCCACTAACTTGCTATCTGTGTACCAGCTCGCGAAGTATTAAACTAAACCCAAACTCTTGTTCTGACAGGATGACAGATTTAGCAAAGACTACATGACATAACAAGGAAATAACTGCACTTATGTTGATTTTAAAGTTCCTAACGCGCTCTAACGTCCTGAAAATAAAAACATGAAGCCTGCGTGGCAGGAACTAAAGGGGAATTCCGGCGCGCGGGAACGAGAGAATCACGCGAGGAGGGGGAGAAAGGGAACGCTTGCGACGACGCTATCCTTTTCCTTTCGTTGCCTTTACCACCTTTCGCCGTAAACTTGGGACAGCTTTCAAAACGCGCGCCTTCCTTAACTCCTATGCTATTATGGGGAAACCTGCGCAATAACAGGTCAGGAAGTGAATGAAAACCAGAGAGAGGGAGGGAGAGAGAGAGTAAAAACGCTCACCTCCATAGCAACAGCTAACTCCGCTTCAGCTTCCTTTAGAGCTGCTTTCTTCGGAGCCACAACTCGTGCCACCCTGAAAACAACGAAAAAATGGACTAAGTTAAGAGGTTCTGTTAGCGCTCATAGAGAAAACAGAACCGCAATACGCACTAGTCCCTGTGAGATGGAACACTGGCTTTCGCTACTTCTGGGATTGTTTGGGTACCGAATCACAATCAATCGCGGCGTATGAGTGTCACCACCAAAACCAAAGCAGAAAGGCAGTAACCGGTTCCGACAGTTGTGTAGTTAGTTCTAAACACATGTTGACATTCTGATCACAGTTAGTGAGATTGAGCTTGTTCAAAAGGGGCATAACGCTATCGACTGGGTACACTATCCAATGGACACAGCAATTAGATAACGTTTGAACAACCAGGCTCCAGTCTGCTTCACAGCCGTTCTTTGTGACGTCACGCAACGCTTCCCCCCTCCCCTCGGGAATCGAATCGGCGTCCTACCGCTCTGCAGTCAAGCGCTCAACCGACTAAGCTTATCGTGCTGCGGTAATCAAAACGCGCAATAAAACGCGCACTAACCCTTCAAAGACATTTGTATGCCAGACTTACTTGTCGTAAGACTCCATCGCTACGACCCACTTGCATAATCCCTCGGCAGCAGTGGATGCAGTCTTGATCTTTTCAGGATCAAACTCAGTATTTGAAGTGTACTTTTGTCGAATGGTTTTGATAATTGCTGGTGGGATGTTATCTTTGTCGTAGTTTTGCAGGGATTTTAAGAAGTTCATGTCACCCAACAGACGCTTTGAAGGCCCCCAAAAGTCTTCAATCTTTTTTCCTGTGAAGAATCCAAGTCAATTATAAGACGCGTAAGGGTTAATGGCTATTCCGTACGATTTCGCCTCAGGCAATGAGGCCGGATATTTCCCAAATGAATCCTTCCAATTTCTAATGCAAGTACCGTAAATCCTCTGTTAAACTAGACAGCAAAACAGTCCGTATTTTTGCGTATTCAATGACAAGCGAACGTTCAACCAAAAGGTCTGGAGCGAGGCTGAAAACGGAGAGCGAGACTGGGGAGAGAATCCCTACAGGCTTTTGAGATTCGCGCGCGTGAGACTTACGCTACTCGTACGCTACTCTAAGACGATTTTTAGAAGAAAAAAAAAACCCGACTGTTTTGCACTCTAATTAAATAAGCCCCCTCTCTATTAAGCCCCCCGCCTAATACGTACTTGGAATATATAAGCCTTCAGGGGCTTAATAGAGAATTTACGGTACTGAATTTCTTGTGCCTTACCTGACCCAGAGGGATCAGGGATTCTCTCTGCCTTGATTCCTTTCAAGATACAAATAGCTTCCATAACAAGTTTAACGCCAGCGGGAGGTGACTTCATAGTCTTCATTACAGTGATATCCTATAAAAGAACAAGCAAATGGGGGTTAAAGCATTGCATTCCGACGTTTTGTGATTGGCTAAAAAATTACCAAGCCAATTTCTTATCCAATGAGAATTGAAATTGAAAACAGTCCTCGCTTGCATGCACAAGTTTTCCCGCGCTTAGCACCCGTGCCAAGTGCTTGGCTAGAACAAGCCAACTACGGAAAGCATTGTAATCTTACGTTTTGTGATTGGGTGAAAACTATCACGCCACTTTTCTTAACAAATCAGAGTTGAAAATGAAAACATTCGTCACTTTGCATGCACATGTTTTCCCGCGCTTGGAGGCCACTTCGTATATTTGGCTCGAATTCTGATTGGCTCTGGACGGATAGCCTACGTTGTGATTGGACAACAACAAAATTCGCTCAATTGAAATGATGTTGGTTACGCACCGCATTTGTCAGCGTGTTGAGAGCAGCTAGAGCAGCCTCTAAGATAGGAATAGCTTCACCAAGGTCCTTGTCACATTCATCTTTAATAGCCTGAGCAGCTGCTGCCTGCTTGTTGGCAACCGCCTCGTCTGCCTTCACCACCTAACAAACAAGATCAAAATCAACTCAACAAATCAATCGCCCATAAAGTAACGCCGCATAGGGCGTATACGTCTCGCGAACCCCTTAAGCCCCAATATCCACATAGAAATTCTCCATACTTATCTCCATACATTCCCTTTAAGAATAAATTGAGAGAATTCGTCTAAAGATGAAAGCATTTTCCGTTAGGTACTATTTCATTACTTGTCATAACCTTTTTCACTTCAGTATGTATTGGCATTGTTGGGAGAAAACTGCTGTTGGTCACACTTGAAACTTAAAGAGTTCAGCGGAGGCGCATTTGGACCAATGGGAGGTACAAACAACAGGGACTTATCCCGGTTCTGCTGCAAGCAGCACCTTCGACTTTCAAATCGATTGATTAATGCGATGTAACAATCTGGGTATGTAGCGGCTGCTCGGAAGAGAAGTCACCAATGGTGCGTTTCCCTGACCCTTAACAATACTAAAACAATTGGAAGAATGACATGTCATTGTTTTCTTGCGACCAATTAGAAGAGACCTTCCGAGCAGCTCCTACACTACTCAGCAATCTTCCTTACCTTTTCTTTTTTGGCGACTTCCACCGAATCTTTTTCAATAACAACCATGATCTCATCTACCTCCTTCCCTGCTTGAATAAGCTGTGGTTGCAGAGCTTCCAGTTCACCCTGCATAGCTGATACCTGACAACAAATGACAGCTATGACTGTTAGAGCGGTGAAACCAAGAGAAAGCTAAGACTGCTGGTACTCGAGTTTATGCCCTCGAAACTAGATTTCCTGGGGATTAAGGAATACATCGATATGAATTTCATTCACAATGTACATAAAGTTTGTTACCTGTGACTGAGCAGATGCCAGCTTATCCAAACCAGTCTCATATCGTTTCTTTGCTTTAAGAACTTCACTGTAAAATAAAACGTACAAAACATTAGCAACTCTTCTAACACCAAAGGGCAATTATAATATTGTCGAAAAACTAAAGTATGCAAGCAGCCATTCAAATGAACCAATCACAATTCTAAGTGAAAACATGAAGCTGACATTGAGAGGGGAAAACGCACGTGAAAAAATCATGGTTGTTTTTCGCATTAAGTCGGATTGGTTAAGAAAGTGCCGAGATATCTTTTTGACCAATCACGAATCGCAAAAAATCCCTAACAATCCAAAAAGTATTATCAATAATAATAATAATTTAATATTTATATTGCGCAAAATACATGTAAATATGATCAAATGCGCATTACATGAAAGTACTATCGATACTTCTCTTAAAACCAATCAAAATTCCGCTCTTAGTCTCACAAGAAAACTGAAAAAAAAAAAAAAAAACGAAACACTTTATCACAGTTGCGCTTACACTTGTTTCATGTTGAGAAGGTTCTTGAAAGTTGATATGAGTTCCAAATACGAAGTTGGTGTCACGTAGTTGTGCCTCTTGAGCTCGTCAAGGAAGGATTTGGACAGGTTTCTTGTTCCAGTGTGGAAAGTCTTGCACATCTGAACACAGCCCTTCTTAACTTGCGGCTCCATTTCTAGCTCCTCCAAAAATCGCTGAGCTACAACTTGAAGGGCATCGTCTGGCCAAGACTAAAAAATAAAAACCAAGGTGATTTAAAGCGCTTTTTGCGTTCGTATTATGAATACTGCATTACTGTCGCAAGGACTTTTCTTCAGGATTGTAGAATGTATAACACGAATCAAGGAAAATATTCCACTAACTAAAATTAACCCTTGTAACATGATTACCTGAAACCAGTCGATGGTACAGCAGTTTACCAGTGAAGGGAACTTTCTGAGTCTGTTACGGAAGGCGTCACCAATGGGGCTCATGGCCAACACGATATGAAGCTGGTCGCGGACTCGTTCAACAAAGTAGTTAAACAGTGCAACAGGAGAACCGTCTGTCTGCTTGGACTTGTCGCGTTGCCTTGTAAAGAATCAAATAAATAGGACGTTTTAAAGGTAGTTAAGAACTCTTTATATAGAAAAATCCTCGAGAAGTGATGGTTATACAGTGGAACGCAGTTTACAAGGACACAAAGGATAGATGCCATAGTGTCCGTATTATCCAGGCGTCCGTATTAAGGGGGATATTTTTAGAGAAATTATGTCATTTTTCAGTGTCGGGACAAACGTAACCTTCCATTATATACAGGTATCCGTCTCGATCAAGTGCCAGTATTGCGGGATTCCAGTGTAATGTTTATAAAGGTAAACGAGGTAGTTATAATTTTGAGTCTGAGGATGATTTGCAATAATTTGACCATTCAAAGAAAGCTACCAAGCGGTACTTTGCTGAGGTACTGTTCATTACACTGTACAAGGAGTTGTAAATTTGGAGCCTGTGATCAGAAATTTTAAAGTAGGATCATTCAGTTCTTTATTATGGTGCTTTAAAACTGTTTGCACATAATGGTTCCCTCCTAGATGCCTCAGCTAAATGATGATTACAACAAATAAGCGCTTGTACCTGTCTAGGACTCTCATCTTTTCACAGATCTCTTGTTTTTCATCCAGAGGGAACAGGTTAGGCACCTCGCCTGCATTCAACAAGTTGTTAACATCTTCCAAGAAAGACTCCTCTTTAATCTAAAACGGGAACACAAAAGTATGAAAAGTCAGTGCAGACAAAGACATCTCTTAATCCCAGACTGGAATAGCCAAGTATTAGGGAAACACATTAGCTTGTGATGTGTGTGGTTATAATAAAGAAAAGCTGCAAAAAAAAACAAACAAAAACAAAACAAAACAAAAAAAAAAACAATACAAAACAAAAACAGCTAGCGGAAGTGTTAGGGCTTGTAGAGAACGTTTTCGCCTTGTTAAGGAGTTGAACTGAGCCTAGCACAGGGCTGGGCGTTTAGGCTACCGAGCTAAAAACTATGAAATTTTGGAGCTTCGTGAAGAGGTTTCATGGCTCGCTTTGCTAGAACCTATTGCTGATAATCTCATTGCCTTGTACGCGCAACAAAAAAATAAGAAAGCGCTGTCTACCGTGGCGATCTGGCCTCACCTCAGCGGTCATATCAGCAGTTGGAATTAATTCGCATCCACCTTATTTTACGCGTCGTCAGGGTCTTCTCTGACTGATAGTCTTGTTAGATATTCTTACCTGTGTGTCGGTAAATAGAAACACTCCGTTCGTTTCGCCTTCCGCCGTCTTTCTCAGGATTGCCTTCAGATCTTCACGCCACTCGGTTGAGGTGTATCCTTTGCCAATTTCAACCTGAAGTACACATTAAGAAGATGCTATTAAGAAGATGTTAGAGGAAATTAAATTTGAGTAAGGCGGATTTTCAGTTGTATGTGCTGGCTTTAATGCGGAACTGCCGCGGTTACTTGTTGGTTCAAAATGCGAAAAAGAGAAATTCGCGCTCTTGACGCTGGCAACATGCTTAAACGTTCAATTCTGATTGGTTTAACTGCTGTCGGTGACTGTTATAATTGGCTAGAGTGATTAAACCAGTCAGACCATGTTTAGTTTGCTTCACGGTGTTTTCCCGCGCCTCGCGACGTCGACATTTTTTCTTTTAGTTCTGATTGGTTCAGCTGTGTCTGAGTACCTTATGATTGGTCAGAGTGATAACATTACCTGGAACAAGTCATAGTCTGCCATATGTGCAGCAAGCCTAGTCAGACTCTGTCTTCCACTGCCACCAACGCCCACCAGGAGACAATGACCACGAGGTTGCTTGATCACACGGGAGATTCGAGAGACATGCTCAATAGCAAACCTAAAATTAGACGTAAGGTATATCGGTAAGGTTACTTGATCACTTGAAACAATCCCTGACAGCGACAGAAGCTCCTCAGGAAAGGGTTGGCTTAAAAAATTAATGACGATAGAGGCTCCTATTGATGGGCTCCAGACACCTATCGACATTCCAATACTAGCTATAGGCATGATTGTCACAAGAACCTAATTTACTGGCCTGAGCTCTCATTGGTCTCTATAGCTCAGTCACAGAGAACCTAGACTAGTAACCAGTAGGTTACAGGTGTGATTCGTGTTGGGAAAACTTGGACTATTTTTCTGATTCGCACTGACCGAGGAACTTCAATACTCCATCTTGCAGTTGTGTGCTCAGTACTCTGGAAGCAAGGCAGGAGCTGACCTAGTTATCTTACATTTTTACTGCTTTTCATGTCGTGTTGTCCTCAAGTTAACAAGCCCAAGAACATCAACATTTACATATGAAAAAAGCACGTTTTGTAACAAAACAAGGTCACCTGCAGCCTCGCTTCTATTCAAAGGCCACCGCACTGAGTACAAAACTGGAAAATGGCCTATTCCTTAAGCTGTTAATGTTTACCTAAACAAGACCAAATTCATAGGCTTCTTGCTCATGTTATTGAACTCATCCAAGTAAGTCTCCACAACACTGCGCAGTTTATCCAAGTCCTTGACTTCAACATAAGGCTTAGGATCAGCTTTGGGATCCGTGAAATCACAGTAAATCAAGCTTCTTAAGTCATCTTCCTCTACTCGGCCATCTTGGTTGGAGTCCAGTCGTTCAAACAACTTGTCAAACTCCACACCCAGGTGAGCTTTACTCATTTCACGCAGGAAGTTAAACAGCCATTGTCTGTCACTGTCATCCACTAACCGATCATAGTACACACGGTAAACCTAAAAACAAAAACTTCCGGTTAGAAATTCATTTCCGACAATCCTTCTTCCCTAACCAAAATAGGCAGGGACCAAATCCCGTAATAAACTTCCGGTTGGTACTTGTCCAAGAATCGGCGACAAATTCGTAATCGAAGTACTTTCGGTGGTAACACAACAAAACGACAAACTTAATCCCATTCCCCCACCACGATCAAAGATGCTGCCCACAGGCCAGTTGACTAGCGGTACAGGCAAGCATCTTTGTTGATTTTCGTTTCACATTACTTCTTACAGTATATCAAACTTAAGCGTATCAACTAAATTTGAAGACAACTACAGCTAAGAGGATTTCCCGAGAGGATTTCCTCCTTACACCAATTTCCTCCTTTCCCCTTCCTGGTAAAGTCGGCGTCAAATCCTAGTCAACTACGAAACACCATAATTAATGCAGGTTCAGTTTGGCATTAGTTCTCATCATGAGCTATGAGGTTTTTTCCTTTCTACTAGTCCCTTAAGAATTCCCCTTTTCTCTGCATGGAATTCAGGAGTCACAGATTCCTGAGTCCCGTTGCTATGAATTATTTAACATTCAATTCTGATTGGTTTAACTGTTGTTGGTGACTGTTGTCATTAGTTAGAATCATTAAACCAGTCAGACCATGTTTGGTTTGCTTAACGGCGTTTTCCCGCGTTCTTCAAGAATCACAGGTTCCTGAGTCAACTAATCGTTAAATCACTCGCGGTGTTTTGTTACTATGTATTATTTCGAATTAAAGATAGCATACCTCATGGCACCAGAGTCGCTTGAGGTTATCAGGATCTTCAATAATGTCAGGGGTGGAGAGGAGAGTACCTTGGATCACGCGAGCAAAGTCTCTCAAGTTGAACAAATAATGTGACTTAGCTGGGGTGGGCAGCAGGTTTACCATGGCGTTCTTGTACACTTCTAAAGTACTGCTAACCAGTAATTCGCCGACGGCAAGATATTCTTTGGCAAAACCCCTGAAACCACAGAGGTTAACAGCACTTAGTAAGAAAACACACACACAGTCCGCCGGTAACTCTACACCAACGTTATGCACGGTAAATCTAAAGTTAAAGACAATTCAGTTTTTCCTGAATTAGAGAGCAGCTCCTCCCTTAGAACCAATTCCAATTTTCAAACGAACGGCTCCCTTATCTTTAAACGCTCGACTAACTCAGGATAAATACCAAGGGGAAGGACAAACTAGTATAAATCACAGAGACGTTTATTGCAGCAAAAGCTCACTGAGAGCTTACCCCTGGGCTAACGGAATAATGGAGTTTACCCCCGGGAGAGGTAGGAAAGAAACCCATCCCCGGGTGTATGATAGAACGTACCTTGTGGTGATATGCCATTCCATGATCCGACCGAATATCTTAATCATGGTGCTGTCATCAAACGTGGTGATGCTGATGGTGTTAAAATGACGCAGGAAGCGAGGTGTGACGGGATTACGTCCACCCCCAGGTGGGCCCATGGCACCAACCATCTGAATGTCAACCAGGTGAATTGGAGAGGTGTCCTTTAAATCATACCTGTAAAATCCGCGGAAATTTTAACTTTGTGGCAGTTTGTATTCACGATCGTGATGCGATAATAGCGATCACGGCGTCTTGAAAAAGCTCTTTTGCGACGATCACATCGTGTTCGCGACCGCCGCATGACGTGATGGCGATCGCGATACGATTAAAGCGTTTGCGATGTGGTGATTGCGACCGCGATGTGATAATAGCAATAACAATTTGATGAGAGTGATCACGATGAGATACTCCCAATAACGCTTGGTACATCGTGATAGTGATGTGATGCGATCATATCGATCACGTTATGAAGATCGTAATCGCCAGGTAACGATATAGCGGGCTTGCTTAAGATAAAAAGCTTACCAATTCCAGTGATCCATCCACTGACGGAGCAGTTCTATTGGAGGCTGGGCACCATACACCTCACGAGCCGGCATGTTCAGATCATCAACAAACACAACCTGCAATCACAGCAGAAACAAATCACTCAGGGGACCCCATGCGACCACGACAGAAAAAGGAACAAAGTCATGAGTGTACTTGGAGTAACGAGTTTGATGAGGAATGTATGCACTTCTAACCCTTGCGTTTCTAGATTACTGCTAGGGTGCGATCATGTCATCTTTATATCGTTATATGTCTCTTGCGGAAAGGAGTTTTTTCCACCCTCTCTTCTCAAAGTTGAAAAAAAAAACAACGCCTCACCGCAGGACAGGAAAAACTTATGGTGTAACCATAAGTTTTTTAAAGTCTCGTAGGCAGCAATTTTAAATGGGAAACTGTCCATCAACCCCTCCCCTAAGCCAATATTTTGCCCTAACTGAGAGGTAAATGTTGATGTTGGCTTAGGGGAGGGGTAGGTGGGCAGTTTCCCAGAAACGTACAATGATTCGAATTTTGTCTACAGACACGCACCGTTTTCTTGCCCAATGGAGGACCAAACACTCCTTTACGTCTCTTGTCCAGTTTAGACATGATGATGTCTTGTGTCTGTTTAGCGGTGGTCTGCGCCGAGAAATTGATCAGCAGTGGTTTGTAGGTGTCAGACAGCTTCTTCAGAAGGAAGTTCTGTGGGAGAATAGATCATCGAGTAAGAAAATGAAGTAATAACTGCTGTTGTCGGCAAATTTCATCCTCCGAAACTGGCTGTTTTCTTGAGAAAGGGCAATGGAGGGGAGCGCAAGCAGCGACGAAATAGCGAGGAGAATGAGGCGCTCGCTTACGCTCCGCCTGGCTTAAGGTTTATTTAAAGGCGCAACATAACAACACAACTAATTGACCTTAATTACCAATAACTCCCGTAAGACAAAAGTACCTACTTATAATATGTTAGTGTTACAGGGATAATTGATAATGCCTATAGCATACTTACCGTAATGTAAACAGATTTTCCTGTTCCCGTAGGCCCAACAAACAAACAGGCCTTCTGGTGCGAGACCAGCTGTTCCAGCAGGAATGTATACCGCACTGTATCAACAGTCGGCACTATGATCTCGTTGAAAGCCATCTCCTGCAAAAATAAAATCACAATTCTATTCAGCAAATTATTCCCTTAAATATATTAGTAAAAGGAGAAAAAAGGTCCTCGAGAAAAGAAGACGATTTCAATTTGTGTCCCAAAATAGCTGAGATCTTTGACATGGATGGAGCCCAACAATAATATGACCTAACTCCCGTTCACATTCGATTGGCGATTTCGTGTAGTCTGGCGCGCCTCGTTTGTTCTCGCGGCAGGCTACTTCATACCACCCGCGAGCTTCGATTGCTCTACTGTCCCTGAAAGTATTCGAGGTCAGGCTGTTCCAGTAGTATACCGGATCGGATAGGATGTAGATATACTAAATACTAAATTCCGAACTCACCTTAGGAATAGGGGGAGCATCTTTGATCTCTTCAGTCCACAGCTCCCACTTGCCCATCCCCTGAAAACGCAAACAGAAACTCATGATTTCCATTTACAATTTGAAATGCAAAAAATCATAAGACCAACACACGGGAAAACAACGCTGCTCCTCGATTTAACAACTATATAGACCAGTATGTACAGTGTTCAAGTTTATTCATCAAGCGCCATTGAGACTGAGATTAAGTTGATGTGGCAATATGAGCACGCCTTCGATTTCGTCTAATTGTCCGTATTGAAGTAAAAAAGAAAAATTAAGTTTTGTTCTCTTGATGAAAGGCATTTACATTCGATTGTCGGTGTATAGATGACACTGTGTACCTCTTTGATGAAGCGGTAGTCATACACCATTCCCTTGCTCGGGAAGGGACACAGGAAAGGGCGTGGTGGGGGATCCACTATCTCCATTATGTGATACTTGCTCTTGCTTTCAAGCGACAAGGGACCCTGCACAAAACAAGAAAGGCAATTAACTCATTATTCACCCTCTATAGTATATAGGAATTACAGTCGAAACTCCGCTATGAGATACCTCCAATGAACTGACATTTAGCCAATTGACAGCTCTCATAGCAGACACTAAGTCATAGACTAGTCATCTCACTTAAGCAGACACTAAGTGATGGTCAATGAACACTTCCTGTAAGCTCACTCTTACTCATACAGTCGACTCTCTCTTAACGGACACCTCTATAAGACGGACACCTATGTAAACGGACACTTAGTGTTGGTCCCTGCCTTTCTTTACTCCTTTTATTTGAATCTCTATAAGACGGACACCTTTCTAAGACAGACACTTAGCGCCGGTCCCAAAGGTGTCCGTCTTAGAGAGAGTTGACTGTAGTCCTAGTGACATGCAAATAGTTGTAACCTGCCTTAGGTAGACAACACCCTTTCTGGTTCCAAGAATGTGTTCGTATGGGAGTTTCCACTGTATAATGTACAGTCGTATATTAACTTTCAAATAAAACGGTGCAACTTGACCTCTTTCAAGAAAGGGCAGGTGTAATTTCAGCATCAGTTATGTTCTATGTGCATTAAGCACGTGGGTGTATCAAAATCATATTACCTCCACAATCTCACGTAGCACTTTGTCAAAGTCCTTTCTTCCTTTGAAATCAATGGATGCACCAAGCGACCACACACAAGAGAAGAGGAAGATGCACTACGATGGAAAAAAAGAAAGCAAAAAGCTTAATTCAATGGAACCCAAAAGGTTATTCTATAGATAAAAAGGATTCCCAGATTTTACAATTAAAAAAATCAATCATCCACGGACTCAAACGTAAGAACGAAACAAACATATAAACATTTCATTTGTATGATCACACATTACGACTCTTAGACTGAAAAGTTAGAACACTATCCAGAGTAATAAACAGTACCATAGGAAAGTACTTCCTAGTAGCTTTTGCTAGGATCACATCAACAGAGTCACTGACTTTGGCCATTGGCACCCATGCTATAAAATCGACAAAAAAATCTGAATTATACCTCTAGCCAGGCAGCCACTTCTCTTTCATTGAGCTCCTTAAACTTTTGTTCATCATGGAACTCATCCATCATGGTGTCCATGAGGTTCATGTGTGATTTCACCATGTTAGCGTCTGTTGTGGGAGACAGTTCCTGGACAAAACAACAAAAATAATGACCTAATGTGGCTAACGCCCTCCCAGATAACCTGCCCAGTTGTCCGAGGTAAAAAGCATTTTATCCGTACTAAAGTATTGGACACGCCCATGGGTAATTTACCCCATACCACGGTAGTCGCATTTAACACTTTAAGCCGTAATAGTGATCAGTATCAAAATTCCCCTTGTGATATCAATGCTTCATTAAACAGATTGGTGATGAGAATTAAGGACATAATCACACAAGATACAATGAGTTGATACCTCAACAACTTCTCATCACTACTTTTATAGGAAACGTATAAGGACAGCAAATGGGAATTTGAATTTTGATAATAGGGCTTAAAGCGTTAAAGGACTTAACTGACGAGTTTTTCCTTTACCTTGAATCCTCCTTTGCGGATGAACTGCAGCAGCGCTTCTTCCATTCTATCAAACAGATCCTTGATGAGTTCACGGTTCTCTTCGTTAAGCGTCTTAGGAAGAGTATTGAGCCATGAGACAAGCAATGGCTTCCATCCGAGCATGTGGGGCTCCATGTATATCATACCACACCGACTCACCTACAATGGTCAATATGCCAAAGATCAATCTCTAACAATAACATCAGTGGCTCATACACAAGTCTGATGATGATATGATGCAAATCTCTTATACGTTTTGGCTTCTTTAGGTCTCCTAGCTTCGCTTATGCTCAATTTTGATGCAAAATTTTGGGCAGGGGACAAGTGAACTAGTCCTCCTGAGGTTGCACAGCCTTCACTGCTCCTTTTGCTAAAAGGTTTGCGATTGCGATTTATTTTTTTATATTGTGGTGGATAGTTATATTGGCATCTAAAGCATTTTCTGAACTTTCAAGGATTTCCAAAGTTAACCAGGTTTCCACTGAGAACAAGAGCCATACTTACAGTGGCGGGGGACGCAACCTCCAAGTCCAAGGGCTCAAAGATTAAGTTTGTAGTTGGTGCAAGCTGAATAATTTCACCACTGTTTAAACAAAGCTGAAAAAACAATAGTACACTATTTAGATATGCTGAAGCGGGAAGCGATTCTGTAGCAAGTACTCTGTCCTGAATACGACATCCATCAAGGGGCATTTACTTCGTGTACCGGACACAGATGAGGTAAAACAAAAGAAAAACCCCAAGCAAATGTTTTTCCTGAAAGAAAACAAAGAAGTCTTTTGTTTTACGTGATCTGTGTCAGGTACACGAAGTTTGAAAAAAAAAAACACTCCAAGGACAGTAAGGTTTAACCCTTTAAGCCCTAAGAGTGATCAGCATCAAATTCCTCCTTAAAATATCAATGCTTTGTAAAACAGAGTGGTCATGAGAATTACGGACATGATCACGCAAGATGAATTTGCTTGATATTTTATCAACTTCTCCCCACTACTTCTGTAGGAAATGAATAGGGGCAGCAAACGAGAATTCAAATTTTGATCTTAGGGTTTAAAGGGTTAAGTGAATATATTTACCTTTTTGTTGTCATCAAGGACAGTGTTCATGTTTTCAATCCATACTGCATCAACGGGTCCATCAAAAATCAGCCATTTTCGGTCGGGAGTCTGTGTTGGTAAACAAAAGTGTATTTTCATTAACGTTCTAGAGCTGCATAGTTCTTAGGGCCTGTTTACATGGAGGTGGGGACCCCCAGATAGCTGATGTAACTTGTGGCTGGTCACCCCACCTACCATGTAAACGTGATCAAGTTAAAATGAGAGATTTTACGGACAGGCGGGTTACCCCATCTAAGCTGGTTACCTCACCTACCTGGGGTCCACCACCACAGGCCCTTAAACGTATTAATTTCTCAAGACAGAAAAAAACAAATGAAGTCACTTTTGTAAAAAACGTGTTGAAATCAAATACTATGCGAGCTATTGCATTGAATATTCGAAATAGTGATAAATTGAGAAGCTTTATCAAACATGAGAACGAGTGTTTCATATGATTTCCAAAAAAACAGTTAAAGAGACTGGACCGCACTTCATTTTTTAAGGCTCGCTTCCCAGAGTCTTATCATATCAAACTCGTTCACATGTATTATGTTAGAAATATTACTTCTTAATTAATGCAGCAAGAACTAAACTGCATCGGTCCTGAATATAATTATTTCGAGTTCTTAAGAACGTTTTGAACTAATTAGCGAGACGTTTGGAAAGTCATGGGTATACCAGCATAACATGGGCCCCAGTAACATTAAGTAACGCGAATATAACCCAGAGTAAATGAACCGAATTTGTCCGTTTTCCACAATACTTACAGTTGATGTAGCAAACGCCCTATAGTTGACAGCTAAGACTCCATCAGACCATTCATGAGACACAGGATCAAACTGTCCATACAGCTGCCCCATAGTAATGGCCTTTGGGTTCAAGACCACTGTCTGTACTTTGTTCTCTTCCATCAGACCTTTCTCTGATACGTCACTAAGTGCACGTGCCAGCACACGATATGCGCATGTCTTACCGCCAAACGGCTCGCCGACAATCATGAAGCCGTGACGTACGATCATCATCTCGTAGATCTGCCATGTTAAAGAAAATGACAATTAGAATAAGCTTTCACCCAAAAGTGTTCAGTGTGACCCTAAAGTAAGGATATAAACAAATCCTGAAAATCCAACACGACGCTGAAGAACTAAGAAGCCTAACTGTCTAGAGGCAAACCAGTTGCATTAGACGTGAACGATAAAGGACTATCATATTTATCAGGAATGACGGACGTTCAGCGTCAAACCCTTTAAATATATGTAATCTGTAGCCATGCCTGTCTCATTATGCGATTCTACAGCAGCCACTAGCACGTAAAACACGATTGTGAATAAAGACACCAGAACCCCAAAGAGGGTTGTTGTGTATTCATGGCATGACTGAGGAGTTGAACTCTAGGCCACCAAAAACAAACTCAGCAAATGGTTACTCTGAGATATGAACTGAAGCGATTGACAGTAAATGGAGTTAAGAACTGACCTGAATTATCTTGGAGAGGAACTGTTCAGTCATCTGTAGGTTCATTGCCTTGCAGTTTTCTTCCACAGCATTTGTCAAAATCGTATAATCAGGCTTAGGTAGCTTGACACCAGGGAACAAGTCTGAAGTGATTCCCTACATCACAAAAAACGTGCAACGTAAGTATCTTTCATTAAATAAGCGAGCCCAAGATCGCAGTTATTGGATAAAGCTTAAGTTGACCTACTCAGCCCAACGATGATGATGATGATGATGATGATGATGGTGATAATGATGTTTATAATAATGATGGCGATGATGAAGATGATGATGATGATGATAATGATAATGATGACGATAGTGACGATGGTGATATTGATATTAACAATGATAATGATGATGATGATGATGATGATGATGATGATGATGCTGATGAACATGACAATGGTGATGATGATTATGATGGTAATGACGATGGTGATATTAGTATTGATGATGATGATGATAATGATGATGATGATGATGATGATGGTAAAAATAATTATGATAATAACGATGACGATAATGATAATAATTGAGTAAGGTGATGATGATTATGAATCAACTCGAACTACCATAAGCGCTTCGTTCCAGATGTATAACTACAATCTAAAACTGCAAAGAGGATTTAAGCCTAAAATTCAGTTACGTTACGGTTACCACACCAAATAAGCAATTTCCCCAAGACCACATGAAGAAAATATGTAAATTTATGGTCAACATACTTCAAACAGTGGCAAGTCATGAGCCAAGAATTTGGGAAGATTCACATCGTTGATAGAACGTAGCATCAGAATGTCTTCATTTTGATCAGGATATTTTAACTGAAAAAGAATAACAGACACAGAACAAGTAAGAGAAAATAGACAAGATATCACATCCTTTGAGTAGAAATTAAGAGAGTGTGACAGTACTAATTTTGTCAATTAGATAACTAAAAAGAGTGCCAGAGGCTCAGTCTGGTCACAATCAAAAGTTAGAGAATAAATAATAATAATTTAAAATTTGTAAAGCGCAAAAATATCATTTAAATATGATCTAATGCGCTCACCTTGACGCATAATTAATGCACGCATACTTAATTCGCACATAATTAATGCCCTTTGTTTGCTTTTATCGTGGGAAAAAGAGAGGTATGTCGTATGGTTACGTTACCTTTAGGTTTCCAGCCGCGGTGAGTACAGATTTGACAGCTCTCATGCCGTAGTCATAGTGATGCTGAGATGACAGCTGCTCTGAGCACAAAGTGTACGTAGTGACAATCTTTACAGCTAAAGGACGGGCCTGGTGTAAAAAAAAAAATACATTAAAAGAACTCATCAATGCGATGAAAATGCAAGAGTTACCAATACTCAGAGCTAGGCAGTGGAGGTGATTGAGGAAGAACAGCATGCTGCAGTGAACACTATTGAGTCAAGCTTATCAAATGGTTATGTCTATAGAAGTTACGGGACATAGTTTATTTGAATAGTTGAACTGGCAAAAAACAATTTTACGACCCTGTCTTTGTTTCGCTAATGTACAGCGGCCTTAAACATGAAAGCAAGCATTGTAATAAGCTTTTGATTGGTCAATAATTCTCCCACCACTGTTTTGACCAATCAGAACCTAGCTAGCACCATTCGTTACTTTGTACTTGTTCACGTGCATTTTCCCGCGCTTGCCACCGGCTGCACGTATTTTCTTCAAGCTGTGATTGGTTCGTTATAGTAACTGCGTTTGTCGCAACTGGTCAGAGAAATTAGTTTGCATACTCCACGTGATTAGTTTCAACTTACATTAACAAAGCCGTATGAGTACAGAGATATTTCAGCGATCAATGCATAATCAGGAACCATCATAGCCACAGTTCTGAACAACGCCTGCGAACAATAAGAAAAAAAGAAAGTCAAGATGACGTATAGGTAAACGGTGCAAGAAGTATAAAACACAGCAGCAGGATAGATAAGTGGAAAGGAAAAAAACTTACAGATAGACAATTAAAATTAGTATGTTATCAGCCACTTTGAGGTTGCACAAGAGACCGGGTCGAGATGGTTTCAAAGTGCATTGTGGGACTGTTTTGTGGGACGCATTTTCAACATGGCGGCAAATTCGTGCCAAAACAATCCCACAATGCACCTTGACTACCATCTCGACCCGGTCTCCCGTGCAACCTCAAAATGGCGAAAACGCGTACCTTGAGATTGTCAGGCAACTCGGACCTGCCTGCATATCCAGGGTTCATGGTGATGAAAGTAGCACATGTCGGGTCTAACTTCAGTTCTGTTCCTTCAAACAAAAGGGTGTCTGATCCGGAATTTATACCTGAAGCAATACAAACAACTGATAAGCTCCTACAGGTATTATTGTTTTAGTGACATTTAAACGTTACACAAGAAACACGGTCAAAATTTGTCCCTGAAAACAGTGATGTGCAGCAATTCAACACAAAAGTAACTGAGTCTGAGCCAAACCCGGCTTTGCATTATGAAAGATTGACGCATCAACAAGCGCAAGTTTGATAAATGTCAACGACCAGTAAAAAAGATGGGAGGAAGACCTTTCGTAAAAGGCGTAAAAGGGATCAAGAGCCTTGCTTACCGAAACTTTCAACCAGGGAAAAATGGAATATAGAACAAAGTCACTGTTAGCCGGGAGATCCCCTCATTTCCTCGGATTATGTTCCCGTAGACAGTTAAACAAGAGGTAGTGAGTGAGCACATACCCATTTGAATGGTTAGGATCTGCTGTGCTACCACTGATAACACTTCCAAATCGATGCGGTTAAATTCATCAAAACAAGACCACGCCCCACACGATGCCAAACCCTGTGAGCGAAATAAAGTAGAAATTGAGCCAAATGGCGTGAATTCATATGTCAAAACAGACCTAAGGGAAATTTAAGACTGCTTGGTTTGTACAAAGCGTAAAACGAGAAAAGCTCACTAAAACAAGGGCAACAGCTTCGTAGTGGGGCTTTCATCCACGACTGCCCTTTCCTGTTGCTTTTACAGACAGACGTATTCAAGAAATGTGAAGAATGTAACCCCCCCGCCTTAAAAGCAATCTTCTTGGTTTTATAGGGGCATTTTACGGCAAGACAACTGGTGCATACTTTGTTCTCCATTGAGAAGCTAGAATGCATCTCTTATTTGTACTCTCTTATCTGTTCAGTAAACTATTCTGGGAACTTTCCAAACTACCCCTCTGCTAATTCAACGTTAACAGTGACTTCTCACTTGGAGCAAAATGTTGGGGGGAGGGGGGGGGGTAGGTAGGCCCTTTTTCAGAATCTTATACTGATCCTTAGATTGGTACTAGCTGTTACCTTGAAGAATTTCCCAAGTGCAATGTAATCTAAACCATCGGAGCAGTTAAACACAACACACTGTTTGGCAACAGCTTTTGCCAAATCCTTTGTTGTTTCAGTCTTGCCTGTGCCAGCAGGTCCCTCTGGGGCTCCCCCCAAGTGGAGCTGCAGTGCTCCAAAGAGAGTCCTATGAAATACGCATAACAGAGAACGAAGATCAAAATTATATGTATAAAATAAACACAAATTTCATTCTGCCAAATACTGGGTAACAAATAGTACCACGTGAAGTACTGCTGAAGAGGTTTTAGTTGAATGGTAACATCACGGAATTTCGTTCACAAATTTCAAAGTTATAAATAGATACGTGCGACTTCATCGCCACGTCACTGCTTACATTTCGGCCTGCAACCGTGCGAGTTAATTCATAGAACGCGAAGAAAAACGGAAGACTTTACCTGTAACATCGATCAGTAAGGGGCGTGATAACCAGACGGCCTGAGTTACCCAGATATTCGTAACCATAAGCCAGCTGAGCACTAATCATTCTTGTCATCACGTTTTCCTCCTAAACAAAGAACAAAACAGTTGAGTGATCAAGGTGACTGCGCAAATGACTGGAAGGACTTTTGACAACACACTGTTGTAAAAAGGAAGTTCTTAAGCAGTGGCGGATTCAGGGGAACGCGGGAATGACCCGGCGCCCCACCCCCCCCCCCCTCTTTTTTAGACCAAACTGACCAAATTGAGACTGCCCCCTCCCCCCACCTATCTCAGGGTCGGCATGAGCGGGCCCACCCATTACCTGAAGGTCTGGATCCGCCACTGTTAAGTTCTGTGAGCGATCCAAGTTCATTGGCCCCAAATTTCTGCGCGGTCAAATAGCCAGATTTCACCTGCTAAATGAACATATTCCCTGTATTTCTCATTTCTCTTCTGCCCGAATCCATCGCACAGCACCCCTTACTGTAAATGTTTTTTCCACCAGTGCAAAAACATTGTGAATTGATTATACAAGAGTATAAACATTGTACCTCTATGTAGTATCTCAACTGCGCCAACCACTCAAAATCATCTTCCCGACTTACACCTGTGAAAATGATCGTAGATCAGTAAAGTACTGCCAAAGACGTTTCACCTGAATGATAACATTATTGGATTTCGTCCACAGACAAAAGTTATTGGAGCCCGCAAATCCTGATATTCAGATTGATATTACTAATGCGCGCAATGTGTATAAGCAGCTTTCGTTTAGACTTAAAATGAATGGAACGCACAGGACGCGATCTGATCACGCGCGTTTGCTTATTCTATTGCGTGAAACTTGTGCAGAGCACAGCATTAGAAGAGGAGCGTTTACAACTATCATCGATCAAACCCGCAGTCCCTAACCTTTGATTGTAACTACATGACACGTTTTCTTTATTAGTGACCTTTAGATTTGACTACGAGTTCGAGAACGAATAGGTCTTGAGAATTTCGAAATTACTAGCATCATTACACTTTTCTGGGAAACTGCCCACCTACCCCTCCCCTAAGCCAACATTTTGTCCTAAGTAAGAAGTAAGTGTTAATGTTGGCTTAGGGGAGGAGTAGGTGGACAGTTTCCCAAAAACGTATAACGATGAGCTTATTTAATCTCCCAGTTCAAATGATAAAAGTTGCTATTGACCAATTACAATTGTTAGGTACAAATATCTTACCCAGTTGACAGAGTTTAGCAAGTACATCCCTGGCATGAACGTCTAATACCACCAAGGCTCCTAATGTTGCTCTGTTTTGTTTCGACAGTTTACCACGCACAAGAGCTACAATGTCATCAATCTGACTGTTGTTCAGTTGAAGGTAATCATTTAAGGCCTAAAAACAAACGATATTTTAGATAACAAGTTCTTAAAAATACTGAAGCTGATGATTTTGATGAGTGTGATTTTCAGTCTAACGCCACATTTAACAAGAAAACACTTGACTACAGCAATGATGATGGCCAATAAGGTGAGGATGATGATGATGATGATGGGAATAGTTATAAAGGTGATGATAGTGATGATAACGAGGAGGAGGAGGAGGAGGATGATGCAAACGATGTTAATGATGATGATGGTGATGATGACGATGATGATGATACGATGAAGAAGATTATGGCAATGATGCTGGTGATGATGATGATGATGATGATGATGATGATGACGATGTAAATGATGACGACGATGATGATGATGATGATGATGACGATGATGACGATGATGACGATGATGACGATGATGATGATGATGATGATGATGATGATGATGATGATGATGATGATGATGATGATGATGATGATGATGATGATGATGATGATGATGATGATGATGATGATGATGATGATGATGATGATGATGATGATGATAGAGAAGAAATCACAGGCGTTGGTATGGCGATAGTAATGATTACTAATTACTTGAGCTCCCCCTTTGATAGCTTTGTGTATCTCCAGTGTCCAATAAAGCTGTGACACACAAAGAACAGTTTGTCCGGGCCAATCTCGCACCCACTTTACACGTTCAGTCTTCTCATAGGCCTCTATTGCTTCAAAAATAACCTGGACGAATAAAATAACAGGAATTTCCATAAGTACTAGATAAAAATTTAAGACAAATACCATATTTACTTTCGTAAAATGTCTACAAACAAACAGTACTGTTCACACCCGAGAGTCACTCACAGAGCAGGTACAACCTCAAAGCATTACCCGCACAACCTAGTCTAAGTCTTCTCCTAACCAATTCGCCTTTTTTTCGTTAGAAAATGAAATTCAGTCTCGTAATATTGAACTACATTTAGCCTCTACCACCCCATTAAAGAAAGTTCACCCTTACCATATCTAAACCAACAAGGTTTTCGTTACGAATTCTAGTAGCAGGAGAAAGATATAACGTTACAAGACAATACTGTGAAAAAGGCTCCACGTCTAAATAAAAAAAAGGTCATAGGCTACCGAACATTAGCCGTGTAGTAAACGGAGAATTCTCCGATCCCTGATGCCTAGTAAACACCCTGAAACAACTACGCAGGGTGAATCTTTGACTGCTTTCCAGCCTCAAAACAATTCCAGCACGTACACAAGCGAGTCTGGGGTGTAGTGTGTGGTAAGGCATGGGAAATGGGAAGGGGAGGTGCCAACTAAGACACACCTTTCTAATACTAGCGATCATATCCTCCTGTAGCTCCAACAGCCATTTCTCTACTTGTCCTCTAGCCTTGCTTGTGGAAATCACATCCTTCAGTGGAACAATTTCACCTTCAGAGCTCTTCATGTGAGTGATATCCAGTGTGTCTGTAAACTCCAGGGATGCAATTCCCTCAAAGCACTTCTTAAGATGAGGTTGCACTCTGCAGGTAATAGGAAAATAATTCTTTCAAACGTAGACCCCGTACGAAGATAATCGTCTGGTCCGCCGCTACGGACGTTTCGCGGAGTGACCCAAGCGGCAAGGAGCAAGGTGAATCGGCTGTATTCGCAGACCTAGCCTGCGAGCAAGCTCTCCTGTTTGGGTGAACCTCGCGAGAACGCGCGAGCGAGGGGTCCTTTCCTCTGCCCCTCGCGGCTTCGCCGCTCGCTCGTGCGTTCTCGCGAGACTCACTTCGCTCGCCCAAATAGGAGAGCTTGCTCGCAGGCTATCGCACACCTTACTCTTGTACCGATTGAGCCATTCAACATTCAATCACTCCAAGGACCACAATGTACCCTGTTTATCTCGAAAACCTTTGTATAACTATTGCCTTTGATTTCTTTTGGGGTGACTGCAATACCCAGGAGAATTTGGAAACAATGGTTACGCCTTTTGGGGGGGGGGGGGGGGGGGGGGGAAGGGGGGGGTTATGGGCTAAGGTAAAAAAATTTAAACCAAATCCATATCCCAGTTTGATCAAAAATACAGGAATGCGTAACTGTTTTTTAAATTTATTAAATTACGGCCAGGGATGTAAAGAGATTACAAAATTAAATTTTTATTTCACTTTATTTGTTGCCTTAGCATTTCGTTCGTCGCTCACTTCATCTATTTTGTGTGGCGTTGCTGGCTGGAATAGTGTGCGGCGCAGGCTGTGCGTCTTGGGGGAAGGCATGTACAACCGACGCGTGTCGAGCGGGTGTGGGTGGTCGGGGACGAGGTGCGTTATGGTCTACGTGAAAACAATGTATACCAATCACATATCACAGTTGTATCAAAACTACAGGAATGCGTATCTGTTCTTAACATTATTTAGATCAAGGCAAGGTATGTAAGAGAGTAACAAATTGCATTTTTCATCTACCTTAATTGTTTCCTTTGTACTGGACAATCTGATATTGATTCTAGTAAAATTGACCTTTAATTTTGCGGAACTTTGACCCTAAGGGTCGCAAGAGATGGCCTTTCTGTGAAGAATACAATATAATTTCTTTTATGTTAAAGAGAAAAAGGATCAAGTATGCGTAATTACGAACCTTTTTGGATCTTTGGTTTCAGAGAGAATTTCCAAGAGCTCGTCATTGGACAAAAAGAAGAAGCGAGGAAAGTACAGTCTCTTCTTCTCCAAGTACTCATTCAGTCCCTGTAAAAGAATTAACGAAATTCTTAGGAACAAAACAAAAAATAAAAGTCCCTACAAACACATGAACTGGCAGCAACTGTACCTTTAAGATGAGTTCAAGGAGCTCGTTTGACTTCTTCAAGCGCTCCAACATCTTTTCAATGGCTACAACAGTGAGGACATGACGGTCCTAAAGAGAGAATGTCACAACTGAAATGTTACACAAGCGGATTTATGATTTCGATGTTGAGGAAAAAAAGACAACAAAAATTATAAAATACTAATGGTTCTTATGACGATCATGAGGATTTGGACAGGATGATAGCAATGCTGTTTTTGACAACGATGATGATGTTATTGATGATGATGATGATGATGATGATGATTGTATAATTATGATAGAACCTAATCAGGCGGATGAAGTAAATTGATGCTACACTCACCAGAACTGCCACCTTCATTATCTCTCTCCAGTTCTTGTCAACAGTACTAAACCGTCTGAAAAGACGAGAAAATAACAATTAACTTTCCTCCTTCAGCAAAACTGTGGAAAATATCAGATACTGAACTTTCCTCCAAGACATAATAGGGAACTAAGGAGTAAAAATGAGCACCGACCTTCCCTCCTCAGGCATCTGAGCCATGATATCAGGGGAGCTGAAGATTGGTTCTAAGTACAACCATGTGGCCTGCACTTTTAGCCATTCATCAATGATTTCTTGTGTCAGCATCAATTTACTTTCCCATTCCCTAGAATAATATAAAACAATTAAGGTTTAGCAGCGTAATTAGTACATGATATCTTCAGCAATAAAGATGTTTTTTGAAGTCTGGTAAAACTGAACGAAATTTAAAAATCTACAGATGGCATTCCTTTGAGAACAATATTATGCCACAATTTATTTATTTTCTTTAGGCAAGCTCACAATGAAGTCTGACCAACTATGTGCGCTGGCGTCTACTCGTCCTCGCCCCGGGAGACGAGTAAGAAAGAAATCTGCGAACGAGGTTGGTGCGCTGGACACTTGGATCGACGCATTACCAACACCATCAACATAAATATTTCTAGAATGTTATTGCGTCACGAGGAATGAGCGAATCAAGCATACGATAATAAAACGGTATAAAAAGGTGTTTGCTCGACGTGATAGTTGGTCAAAATGTGAACAAGACTCCTAATTCACAGTTTTCTTAGTTTCTTAGTTTGTTAGTTTGAAAGTATCTAGTGCTGTTCATCATTACTTGATTTCAGTCTCGAATGGCTTGATGAATGGTGATCCCCTCATTGTCTGTGTTTTGACGATCTGATCATCCAACAAGGTCTGGATATCATCGATCGAGGACAAGATATGAGTACCAGTCTCACGGTAAGGGATCATGACGAACTCAATCTGAAAGCAAAGAAAAGTGAAACAAGGTAAGAAATCAATCAAAGGCATTTTTCTAGTAAAGGCGTGACGCTATAGATAATAGACTACTGCAAAGAGATGACAAACATAACTGCTCGTAAGGCCTGCTGTTGAAAGCACTTAAAAGGGCTAGATCACACAAGTTTAAAGAGAACAATTTAAGTCCAGTGATATCTTATATCCGTTAGAGTTTTGTAACAAGCTATGAAGGTTTAATAAAGCTAAGGAGGCAACAGTTTCCGAAAGTTTAAATAAAGTCACCCACCAGATGAATCAGTATCCAGTAGATAACAGTTGAAAATGCGTTGCTCAGTGAATGATAAGGCAGTTTAGCAAAGACAATTCAAGGCAGTAACTTCGGCAAGCGAGAATCTAAAAATCAGCTTGACCAAATTGAGTATCGAAAGTGGCGTTCAGTACTTTATGCGCGCTTTCCCGTTCTCCTTTGACGTTACGTTTCTTTACTAAACCTGCCAAATGCCTTAAACGCACAACTGGGGCCTGTTTATCACAACATACCTCATCCCACTCGCGAACCATCTTCTCCATGGCTTTCTCGAGAGAGAACTCTTTACTAGCCGCCTCACTGATGGTCTCAAACTGGGACAGGTATGGCTCGAGGTTCATCTCCACCATCCTAGCAAGGTTAGTGTCCTCATCAGGTTTAAGAGGGTACCCCAGAATCTCAGACATCTGCTCCCAGTGACGGTCGCGGAGGCCTGGGTTGAACAGAACCTGAACTAAGGGGAGGTGCTCTTTAAACTCATCCACCTTGGCTTTCATCTGTAACCAAGACAATCACAAGTATATATTTACATGTAAATAATAATTATTGCGGCAGTTTTTAAATATTTTAAATTATCCCTTTTAACATCACACTTCTTTAGTATTTTTCCGACCGATGTTTTTTTTTTTTCACGTAAAGCGTTTTAACGAGTGGTGACTCCTGTGTACCTCGTGGTAAAATAAACATTCTCTCTGTCTAAGACTATGTCTATGTCTACGACCAAATCAGTACAAAAAATTATGCTATACAATTTGAGAAGCACGAGCTTTCTCTCCTTCTTAAGTGCAAACTGATAGTGGCGGATCCACACCTTCAGATAACGGGGTGGGGCGGCCATCCAGACCCTGAGATAAGGGGGGGCGCGGCCTCAAAAAAAAAATTTTTCGGTCCTTCAGGCCTCATTTTGGTCTAAAAATAAGGGGGGCCCGGGCCCCCAGACCCCTCCCCTGGATCCTGCAGTCGAACCTCCACTAACGGCTACGTCTCCACAACAGCCACTTTTTTGGCGGACAGTCCGTACATTGACTCTTATTTAAACCTCTCTACAATGGCCACTTTCTTCTGTCCCCAAGGTGGCTATTGAAGAGGGGTTCAACTGTACGAGGACTAAAGTATCTTACCCTAGCTGCAATCTTCTGTGCATTTGGTACTTCAGTAAACTGTTTCTCCAGCTTATAAAGAGCACGCCAGAAGTTTCCAGTCTCGCCATCAACTTTATCTGGGTCCATTGTTCCCCAAGGTCCCTCCATCCACTCCCTTAAAACGGAACACAATTCAAGCCTTAGTGATGGCCAGAATCAACTTTCTCCTATCAACATCGTTGCTTAATCACAATAAATACAAGTCTTAAACACAATATGTTGTCATGAGAATATAGGAAATGATCATCAAGTTGAATGCTTTACAAATTCTTCTTCTGATGTTTTTCGTTGGAAACTACTATATGAAGGAGTTAAACTTTTCCACCTACTTACTTGTATTTGGTTTGGAATTCCACAGTTGTTTCATAAAGTTTCAAGTAAGGATTCAAGGTGTTGATCAGTTGTTGACGCTGAGGATATGACGTCACATCCCATTCAAAAGCTTCTTCTTCTTGGTTAAAAGCAAGAATCTAAAGAAGACCAGCACGTGATGAATAAAACAATTAACTAATGACGTGCGCAAGATGGAACAGAATTGCTTTTTCTATGTTAAAGTTACTTTAAGATTTAAGGTCAGGAATGGAATGACGGAGTAAAATCAATGAAACCTTGTCTGCTGCTGACTCTAGCCTCTGGTTCAGAGCTTGCGCTTTCTTGAGGTACCGCTGGATCTCTTGCATGTCTCCAAATGATTGGAACTCTTCAAGCTGCTTAGAGTAACTTTCCAACTCTTCCACAAACCGCTCACGCCGCATCTAGGTGAAGAAATAACAAAAAAGACGTTTAAAAGGGTGACCATATCTTTGAATGTTGTGCCACTCATTTTAACAGGCCCCCCCCCCCTCCGCCCCCCGCCTGGCACTATGACAGGAATTGGGTCTGGCCAGTCAGTTCTCACAATGGAAAGCGCCCTTAGACAGACAATTATTGCCGGCCTCATTCATGTAGATGTCTGTCTCAAAGAGAGTTGACTGTAAAAAGATGAAGAAAACAAAATAATTGTTGTTAATTCAAAGTACCTTAAGGCTGTTCTCATACTGAACACGGTTTGCATTGATGATCTTTTTGTGTTCTTCGAAAACCTCGGGCATACGAAAGTGCCACTGGAACACGCTGTTATTAAGTCTCATGTCTGCTGGTGAGAAAGATGCATAATCCACCTACGGGAAAAACAACAAACATGCATTTCATTACAACACAGCCACATGAAATCCTTAAAAAATGTGAGCCCATTATGACTACTATTTTATATGAACACAATGGAATTACCAAATGGCAATTTTGCTTACCAAAAAGACAAGTCTGTTCTTGGTGTCAACAAGTCTTTTTTCAAGGTCAAAGATGGTCTCATTCTCAACCTGCTCAATGTAGTTCTAAAAATAAAATAAAATAAATAGACATTATTGATATGTAACAATAAGCAGCCTAAAGGAGATTTATTAAGTGGATAGCATTATCACCTTTTGAATAATTGGGGCCGGACAGACAAGTTATTAGAGAGCTTTAGATTCGCGGACGACGTTTAATTTTAAGTTTTCTCGCCCCTTCTCCCTCTAAAATAGACACCCCAGAAAGCTTCATTGTACTTTTCTCACCACAAAAGTTAGTACGTTCAGTTCCGTTGAAGCAGGTAAAGCCCTCTAGATCTCCCAATCGCTATATGACCAAATTTCTAACATTTGATAACTTGTTTTGCCCACTACGACATTCTCACTAAAATTCATAGGAGAATGGTGGCAGCTATCACATTTTCCCGCCAAAATGATGTTTTGCATACATGCACTACTTAGTGTTAGGAAAACTATCTATTCAGCCACAGTTTCATGGCCTGGGATCAGGCTCCCCATCAGGAAAAAAGGCAAAAAAGAGAAATCAGTGAACAATGGTGAGCCAGGCAGTAGTCTAGCAATCTGGAAAAGGGAATAAGGACACCACTCAGTCTCTGCTCGCTTCACTGCCATTTTTGTTGCTGTTTCACCCCATTTTTTGTCTTTAATGATTCCCCACAGCAGAGCCTGGTTCCAGGCTATGGTTTCATGGCCGCAAAGATCAAAAATCCTCAATTTAAGACAAAATTAATGTGCTCCTGTGCTATTGGCACATCTAAGTGCCAATAGCAGTGTTCTAGCTGTTCTGAGTTCACCTGAGCTCAAAGCAGTATGCCAAGTTTGAGAAGGCCTAACCACTCATAGCTCCTATAGTTTCTGTTAGGTCTCCTCGCCTCACCTCTCCTCTCCTTTTTTAATTTGGAACCTATACTTATTGTGTGGCATATAAAATAAAAAAAATCAACTCAAATCAAATAAATAAGCTGTACCTTGAGTTCCATAAGATGCTCAGTGTTGGCAGGAGATGTTAAGGCTTTTTCTGCTATTTTCTCGTACTCTTCACAAAGCCTACAACAAAGTAAAATTAAGGAATCCCAGTTACAAAACCTACAATATTAAACTACAAAGCAGAATGTATAAATTAATGAAATCACTAGATTTGCTTTGACACAAGGCTAGCACTTCTAGCAATAAACAAATTGATGGTTTTTGTGTTTCATTGTAGTTGATATTCTCATATCCAACACCTATGATCAATAGATTTCTCTAGTATGCAATAACTTGGATGGTATACTAGAAAAAGCGAAATTCTCATACATATTTCATGTCTGTCACGGCGTTTTCAAATTGCTGGTTTATGTAATTAGTAGGTGAGAAAATGAATGGCTGGGAGGTTCTTTTGGTTATCTTTTCCTTCCTTTCCTATGAAAGTAGCCAGCTGTTATGCTGATAGAAGGTGGGGCAAATCAACAGTCATGTCCTAGTGACAGTCCTGATCATTCAAGCTGCCTTGATATTTCGGATCATTATACGTTTCTGGGAAACTGCTCACCTATCCCTCCCTTAAGCCAACATTAACACTTACTTCTCACTTAAGGCAAAATGTTGGCTTAGGGGAGGGGTAGGTGCAGGGCAGTTTCCCAGAAACGTGTAAAGATCGACCCTAATAAGACCATTACCTTTTGTTGAGAAGCTGATGATCCTTGCTCATCCTCTGAAGCAGTTTAGTTCTTAAGCTGTCAGCTCTCTTAGCTAATGCTCTGATCAGTTCATCACAGTGCAGTTCAAACATACCAACTCTTATAACCTATGTACATGTAAAGCATAAGGTTAATGTTAACCCTGTAACCCCCAATATCCACATACAAAATCTACAAACTGATCTCTATATATTTCCTTACAGAATGAGTTGACAGAATTTGATAAAAGATTGATGTATTTTTGTTTAAGTGATCATTTAATTGATTCTCATAACCTAATCTCTTGACAATGTACGGATATCATTCTAGGAGAAAATTGATGTTGGTCACTATTGGAAGGTTAACAATGTTGTTTGTTTACAAATCTAATTCAACATGCTAACAAGGATGATGATGAGGAGGAGGAGGAGGAGGAGCAGGAGGAAGAGGAGGGTCCTTGACAGGTTTATCTGGATCTGGAAATTCCCTCTTTTGAAGCCTAGGATTCAGGATTGTAAAGCAAAGTTGGGACAAGTTTCGGGACTAAAAGTGTACATAGAAGTTGGGTGCCAAAAATAACCTTTGAGACTACTGAATTGCAAGAAAGTTTGAGTCCGGATTTCGGGATTGAAGAACCCCACTGCTGGGGACCCTGAAAGAGTAGGAAGATGATAATCACAATGATGTTTATGACAATGATGATGATGACAACAATGACAAGGTTGATGATGATGATGATGAAAATAGCTATGATTATGATGATGATGAAGAAAATGATAATGATCAGGTCCATGATGATTGTGAGCGTCAAGATGACCATAATGCCTTTACTCAGTCCATTACCCAAAAAAACTGGGAAAGGATCAGAGACCCTTGTAAATAAAGACAAATTGAAGACTGGTAAAATCGTCTTCATAGCAGTTTTGGGGAGTCCTATCATCAGTATACATTTCCAGAAAGGAAAACAAGCAGGGTTTTTTTCTATCTGACCATCGTTGAAGTAAGGATAAGCAAAGTTGGTTTGTAGATGGCTTTCTGTATGAGAGTTTCCAAGCAGTAAGGTCATCACATTGCTAAATGTTTGCTTAAGTCTTTCCTAAATCTGCCTAGGATAATAAGAAAAGCTTTGCCAAACAAACCTTCTGAGAGTTATATTGGATGCTATCAACCAACTTAGCATACTTCTCCACTTCCTAAAAAATCAAAATAATAATACAATTTACTCTAAGAAATAAAGAACATTATAATATTCTTAAATTTTTTGTGCATGCAGTGAATCATAAGCTACTATTTCCAAGGAAACATTTTTTACCTTTGCAAACCTTGGAAACTTGTGCCCTTCCAACATAAACTGATCAATGTCTGCTTCAGCCTTTAAGAGAACAAAAACTTTTAAAATAATGCTTTTTCAGTCAGTGATTTATTAAAGGTGACTTGGGGAAAAAAAACTGAGCTAAGCTACCAGTGCAGATGCTGAGTTACAAGCTGAGGTCAATTAACTTTTGGTCTATGCTTAATATACTTACAGTTTATGTAGTGCCAGACTGACTCAACAATTAAGATTTATAAATAGGACTTTGAAAGGTTACAGAATTATTTGCAGTGTGCTTGGGATAAACTTGCCACCTGAACTGTGCTATGTGGATAAAATTCAAACAAGCCAACTACGAGTGAAATTTTTGCATTGCATTTGATGAGTTTGTGTGACCACAATGAGAATAAAATAAATGATTTGACAATCATAAAAAAAGCATTAAAGGAAATTTTCAGACTCTAAACAGCTGAGTGAGATAATAAAAATCATAATTCAAAATAGCCTTTAAATACACCTTTCTGCTGATGAGGTCCTTGAACTTGTCATAAAACTTCAAATGTTCTCTGGGTCCAGCCATTTCCTTGGCTATCACAGCTTTCACCTGGTGTGGAAAAATAATTGTTCAAAATACTCCATAGATCATGACAATAAAAAAACACCTACACATAGTGAAAAGTGACAAGTATAGTTTAAATAATATTATTGGCACAAATTGCGTGCAAACGTTTTAAAGAAACCCAGTTTTATTGGTACAGTATAATGTCTAATTTGCTTTCAGTCAAATTCTGCCATTTTCATAGAGCATCGTCACATGACATCACAGCGACCCACACTTATGTTGAAAAAATTAAAACAGCAACCATGTTGATGTACCATTTGGCAATCTTGTGGGAGTTGAACTCTTTTCTCAGGTAAATGGTTTTTAATGGTTTTTGGGTCCATAAAAGGGCCCAAAAAGGGCTAACAGATGAATTTTATGGCTTTAAAAAGTCGACAAAACATTCTATTTTTGTGATTAATTCCTATTTAAAAGACAGTGCAGTTAAAAGGGATACAAAGTTCTAAACAATGTATGTGAAAGGGGTACCATTTGTCAATGGAGGGTATGCAAAAGGGGTACCTTAAACATGACAAATGGTATATGCAAAAGGGTTTACAAGGGTTACAACCTTGGGGCAGAACATCCCCATGTTTAAACATTTGTTGAGGGCCCCCCTCCCACCCCCTGGTGTAGTATTACCCTAAATTGTTTTAACTTGATGAAAAACTCACACACCTTTGCCTTTGCTTCATTGACAATTTCATCTGAGACAACTGGTTTCAGAGTCTTCTTTGTTCCAGACTGAAAAAAAATAAGAAAATTGACATAAATTAATAATATACAATTGATTGTATTGTTAGTGTTCTAGAGATACCACATTAAGAATGTCTAACCTACTCATTACTAGTAGTAAATGTACTTGCTAAAAACTTACCCATTCGGAATAAAGTTTAGTTTCAACTCTTGGAACAACCATCACAGCCTTGATCATAACATCATAGACATTCAACAAAACAACCTGTGACATTAATAAATCAAACTCTCAATCAAATGACAATCTGTTATAAAAATCCATAATAATATTATAATTATCTAGACAAAAATATAATCCAGATTCAGGCATGTCAAAATAAAGATGTAAAGGTGCACAGTGACACAAAACCCCGCCCTTTAATTTACATGTACACCAACATAAACACATCGTTTTTAAAGACGAAAAGTAATCAACCAGTTACAAAGTTAATTTTAAAAATCACAAAGACACTTCTACATCGTAATACTGGGTTGATCATTAAAGCTAAATTGATAAACAACTGAATTAAATTTAATAAATACCTCAAAGTCTTTAAAATCAGGCTCAAATTTAACCGTGTCACCCTCCAATACCAATCTCATAATAAAGCCAGGGTGTTCAAAAGCTCTGACAGAATCCTGTTATAGGAACAACAAAAAGGACATTTCAGTAAAATTTATTGCAAAACTGTTTAACTGTCTAGATATACTATTTGCTACAAAAATATTGATAAAGTGGTATCCTTGCATACATATATCAGTTTATAATAGCCTACAGCTGTGTGCCGACTGACTTGGCACTGACTGGCTGATTCACTAACTGACTTTAAAAAACTAAAGGTGACAGGTTGATTTAACAAGCTGACTGATACATGTCAATCAGCAAGTCAGCTACTCTGTTCGTGAGTCAGTGGAGTATATCAATGACTGACTGACTGACTGACAGACTCACTGACTGACTAACGGACTGACTGCCTAGCTGATTGATTGACTGATTAACTGGTAGCTGACTGACTGATTGTCTTAGCAACAAATAACCGATTGACAAATAAAATGAATGGCTACCAATTACATTTGCACACATACAACTGTAAATGATTGACTGACAGACTGGTAAATTTTATTTACAAGTCTTTCAGTTGAATCATGAATGTGCATAATTTATCCATTTATCTAGGTTACAGATAAACTACCATGTAAGATTGAAATAATTACTCTTTCAGCACCAATAAAAAACAAAACCAAAATCTTACAGGCGGAGGACAAAACAACTTGGTGAAGTCATCAATGGAATTAAGAGCCAACATCTGTAGTTGATTAGTCATCAATACTGCCGCAGCATTAAAGAATGACTCAAGTCGTTTAGCATTCTGGTTGCTTGGTACTTGCTTGCGCTTATTTCCTTGATAGTAGATATTTTGCACTTCTGGAAACCACCTTTGGGAAATAAAAAACCAAAATTAATCATCAAAATATAGACCCCAAAAAGTTCCTCTGAAGCTCCCCACTGGGGGAGCTTCATATTTTAATTCAAACAAGTGTGAGTAGAGAAGGCAGCTTTCTGAGGGAAGAAACTTATTTGAATTACATTGTAGCAAAGATGACGCTTGATTCTCCATAATAAAAGAACTGGTATGAAAAGTAGACGAGCTTGTGGAAGAGACGTTTGACGTCATGCAACCAATGATCAAAAACAAAATAATCTGAACTTCCAGTATCTAAATAAACCATAATGAATCAGTGTTACAGAACAGTGATATTGTGATAGTTGATAAAGTCTAGATATATTTGGGAATAAGGAGGGGGGAGCAGACAGTAAATAACTTCCATCCCCTGAAAAGAGGAGCTTATTTGAGAAGGGGGACTGCTCAATAGATGGTTTACGGTGTTGTGTGGTTCCGAAAATTATCCATACCTTCCCCAAGGAAGGGATTTTTCCTTATCCCCCCTCCCCCCACCTCTCTGGAAATTCCAGTCAAGGTTCATACAGTTATCTAAATTGTTGGGCCTTTGAGAACCCCCCACCCCCCAGGAATTTCCAATCCTTTCGGTGGGGGGATAATGGATATTTTCCAGGGCTACACATTCAATCAATGGAAGAAAACAAGACAAATGAATAATTTTCTCATTGAGTGTACATACTTCTTCAGGAGTGTTTCCTTGGCGATTTCTATGTGTCTCATAACAACATTTTGGAACATGGCCAGCTCCAGTGCTTCAGGTCTCAACTGAATATCATGAATATCCACAAGCCTCAGGTTACTTCATGCAAACAAATATTAAAACAAAAAGAATGTATTAAAAAATAAAAAAAGCGAAAAAAAAAAAAACATCTAAAATGCTTCAGGAATTAGAAGGAATTGCATTAACTCTTTTAACCCTAAGAGTGATCAGCAACAAATTGCTCTTGTAATATCAATGCTTTGTAAAACAGAGTGGTCATGAAAATTACAGACATGATCACACAAGATGAATTTGCTTAATATTTTATCAACTTCTTCCCACTACATCTGTACGAAATGAATAGGAGCAACAAATGAGACTTCAAATTTTGATCTTAGTGTTTGAAGGGTTAATTTTAACTTTTTTCACTCACCCAAAAGTTTTGTACCAAAGATCCAACACTGCAGCCATTGTTGGGTTGGTTCCAAACAGGTCTTGTTGCATAGCAGCCTTTGCAGTGACGTATGATCTGTACCAAGGCTTTGGAACCTGCATCAGCCTAGTGGATTAATAACAACAGTAACTGTAAATTGTGTATAAGTTGCAATCAACATAAAACATAATTTTATTATGGAGAGAGAGCATGGGATAACTTTGCAAACCCACCCCCCTGGGGCCAGGGAATTCCCCCAGCTACTATGAGCACAACCCATGGCTACTCTCCTGGAAAACAATTAATGGAAAAATGAAATGGAAAGAAATTCCTAGCAGTTCTCCACTTACTAAGTTCATAGTGTAGTAAGAAACTTGAAACTTGCATATTCTTTAATTAAATACATGTATGCTAATAATGATTATTTATAAAGCTGTATATTCCACTTACTCTAATTTGTAATCCAGAACTTCTTCTTTTTTGTCATCATCTTTTTCTCGTGGATCTCTCAGCACAAAATCAACTACACACAAAAAAACAGAAAGTTACCAAACAGCACATCACATGGATTAAAAAAGGGTACATGCTAGACAAAATTCAGTTTTGTAAGTACCTATAAATTCAATCGTACCCAAACTTTGTCTTTATCTAAGTGACTGTGCTAATAAATTTTGAACAAATTTGTTACACTAACTTATCACAAAACTTGGGTGTAAGTCTTATACCTTTGACTAGAATAATGTACTTAAGTGCGACATGAGAAAAAAACAAAATACATTACAAGTACGTGTGGGTATCCAGGTATTTCCTGCGTATTTCTTACCTATTGCCTTCTTTACACTTAGTAAGTAATCTTCTTTCATTTCATCTGAAAGATTTTCTATACACACATCAAATCCATCCTGAAAGTTAATAAAATTAAATTATTTAAGTCTACAGTTAATTAACTTCAAGCCCACACGGCATGAATATTGAGAAAAACCTTAAGTACTGATGAACACTTTATGTGAACCAGAAAAATAGATACAAACAAAGGCCATTTTAAAAGTTAATGTACATTTTCTGAAAGAAGGTCACAATTTTTATAACAAACTGAAGCAAAAGTAGCTTAGATTTGACTATTGCAAATACACTGTAGCTTGCCTGCCTTACTATCTTTAAAGTGACTGAAATAAATTGGGAGTGGTACTTATTCTAGCTCTGGTCCGCTTAGAGATACAAGTTCGGAGATTACCATAGTATACTTTTTTGAAAGAGATTATCGAGTAGAATAAAGAAAAAAGATTGAGATTTGAGGTCACCCTGGGGAATCGCACTTACCTTCAGACTCTGTGGAACAAGTTGTAGAACATGATCAAGCCACGAGTCTTCCATGGGAGCCACATGCTCTGTGTCTATTCCATGGTAAATGTAAAAGTTATAACGCTGGTAAAACAAACAAGGAAAATTCCTATGAGGATCTATTTAAATGCATATCAAAACTGTAAGTGTTCATTACCGCACATAATTTCATGGTTGATTGGCTGAGGCCAATATTAAGATTAATAAAATGGCAGCTTTTGCCTAAAGGCCAGAGCTCCCCAGAGAGGTCTTTGTTTTCTCTTAAAGAATGGTAACCAATCATATTTTTTCTCTCCCTTTTTTAAAAAGCAGTAACTATCTTTCTGCAGAATATACATGTACAGTTGTACAGCTGTACATGTTAGTAGACAATTTTCCCCTTGCAAGATTTCAACAAATACGGGGAAAAAAAAACCATTAAAAATATACTAATGTAAATTAGGTCAATATACAAGTACATGTACTATTGATACTGTAAGGAATTATTATTATGTATATGTGACCCTCTTTGGGAAAACGGACACTAACGCTTTTCCGTTAAACGTTCAAGAAAAACGGTTCTAAACGGATAGTAAACGGTTAACTCAAGCGTTTAAACGGTTTCCATAACTCTTTAAACGGATAGCAAAAAATTTAAACGGTTGCCCGAAGTCCAAAAACGGATAGCTTGAAGCGTTAAACGGTTGACCAAAAATATAAACGGTTAGCTCGAAACGTTAAACGGTTGACCAAACTCCAAAAACGGATAGCTTAAACCGTTAAACGGTTGACCTAAGTCCACAAACGGACAGCTGGAAACGTTTGAAAACGGATGAGTCGGCAAGATCGTTCCAGGAAAAACAGTTACTTAGAACGCTAAACGGATAGTAAACATGGAGCATAATAACTTGAAGTCTCTTGGTCAAATGTAACCGGAATACCGTCCGAAAAGCCGTATCTGATGAACTTTATTCATTTGTTCGCTTCTCGTTTGCCCTCAGCTAAAACCCGAAACAACAAAACGAAACCATCGGAACGAAACGAGCGAAAGCACCTAAACCAAAACCAAAACGAAGAGCAAATCAAGCGAAATCGTTTCGGGGGTTTCGCTTGTTTCGGTCGTTTCTTGTTTTTTTCATAACGATGATATCTCAAAAATATTTCCGAAACATGCGTACAATAGGTGTAACTAACTCTTTATAATACTGTCATGAAACCGTAGCTGTTATATCGCGAATAAACACTCCAGGTTTAATTCATAATCTCCTTCTTGAAAATGAACTTCACATGTTTCATCTTTTGTTGTGAAGTTCCACGAAAAAAATTTGCATACGCAATGAACCTTGTCACAATCCTAAACGCATCGGGGTCAAATAACGCAACACGCTGGAAATAAGACTAGGTATAACTATCGATAGAGTGCCAACGAGCAAATCATGCGTATTTTGCATAGGAATAGATTCCTTTTTTCCAACATTTGACAGTTTCTTGGTCGCTTCCTGTTGAAAGGATTATTTTCTTGAAAGTAAGGTGTTTCATCTTTTGTTGTGAAGCTCCACAAAAAAAAAATTGCTTAGGCAATGAAGCTTGTCACAAGCCTACACGCATCGGGGTCAGAGGAAAAAAGGAACAGATTCCTTTTTTCCAGCAATTGACAGTTTCTTGGTCCCTTCCTGTTGAAAGGATTATTTTCTTGAAACTAAGGTGCTATCACAAGTATAAATATTCGGAGAAAAGTCAGTTCTCAGACTCCTGTGGCTTTACGAACCTGCTATATAAAAGTTTGAAGTGTATACTTTTTTGAAATTATAAAACAGCTTGCAGAGGAAGCGATCGGTAATATTTAGGCCTAGGGGGAAATATAAAAAATGATCGTTTCTCTTACAACTACAAAATTAGTGTTGGTTTGGTTTCACTTTGTAGATAAATATTTGTGCAGTTTAATCATTTAAACCTGCTCTGAAATTTCCCGAGGCTTTTTGTTTCCCGATTGAATTTTATAATGATTCGCTGCGCTGCATGAAATGTTTACAAGGACATGCGATGTACGACATGTACGGCACGTCGGTATTTTTGTTTTCACTTTATTATAAACTCGGCAGGTTTCGAAAAAAATAGCGTTGTTTTCTTTTCCTTTGTCGTTCGCTTTAGGCTTGTAATTCTTTTTTATTCTTACTTTTCCATTTGCTGGTTAGATTTTTTCCCCAACATCAGATTTTCCAACAGAAGCGACTATTCTATCGCGCTTTCGTTATCTCTTCGCGTAATCTGATCCTTTTTAGTGGTGAGAATTGCTTGTTTCACATGGAAAACTTTTCTTTGCTTAAACTGTTATTTTACAAGCTTCTCTTCGTTAAAACCTTACATTAATGCCCCCCCCCCCCACCCCCAAGATTAATACAATACATCAAGTTTTCATTTTCCTTGACTGCCGGGGCCAGACAATAAAAGTGTACCACATTCAAGTTCAGTCTTCGCGTGCCCGCCGAGGAAAGAACACAATCGATATCATGCGCATTTATCTTCTTCGTCTTCCAGATTCTTGATTTTATTTGTGCGATGGTTTCGACTTTTAATTTTTGATTGCATGACAGTGAGCACAAAGTTGAACGGGAACCAAGAGAGCGTGATTTTATTCGATTTCACCAAATCCGAAACAAGATCAAGTACAGAACCATGGTCGCCGCACTCTCCTGTGAACGAATGGCTTCATCGGCTCTCGATGCAATACGTTTTAACTTATTTAAATTTTTAGCCGTTTCTCCAAGGATACGACGATTACTCGCCTTCTAAAAAACAAGGATAAGTTAGAACTAAAAATACGTAAAAAATACTTTACAGTTGTTCGGCAGTTCACGTATCGGCGAGTATCGAGCGACCATGCCTCATAGTTCTGCTCGCAGTTCTTAAACGCTTGCTTTCCTCTTAAACGGATAAGCAAACCGTTTAAACGCTTGCATGAACCTATTAAACGGATTTAAACGGATAGTAAACGGTTTCACCATTTAAACGGAAAAGCGTTAGTGTCCGTTTTCCCAAAGAGGGTCACATATGTTACAGGTCAAATTTGATCTTAGGTAAATTTTAATTTAACCTAGGTTGATTCTCAATTTCCTTTATTTCTAAACCTAATTCATGCATAATCAGGGCTAGGAGACAAAGAAAATTGAGAATCAACCTATGTAATGCTAAAAAAATTTAACCTGAAATCACATTTGACCTGTTACATATATACTGCTCCTAAAGAAGTACAGCATTCAACTTTTAGTTTTCATATAAAACATCACAAGCAAAATCTCTCTAAATGACTTTCATGGGATAGGTAACATACCAAGATATCCTTTTCAGCGCTGGTAGGGGAACCAGCTCTCTCCAATGGAGGCAGTTCTCCTGCTGATGATGGACGCACTGGAGGAGTTCCCTCATTTTGCCTGTAAGAAAAACAAAGAGAAGAACAGTATAAAACATATGTCTATGCTGTGTCACAAAATTTTATCAAAATTCAACGAGTCACAGGGACCTGCAACCAAATTTAGTGGAAAAATTTTTTTAACCTCAAGAAACATTAAAAGGTATAAAAAAAACCCGGGGGGGGCACTTGGGTAGTTTTTGGGTGGGTATGTGCCGCCCGGGACTCCAAATTGGCACCCCATTCTAAAAAAACTTTCCCCTAAAATTGATACCCCGTTCTAGAAATAGGCCAATTTTTTATACCCCGTTCTAGAATTCGCTCTAAAACTGATACCCCGTTCTAGAAATGGGCCAATTTTTTACACTCCGTTCTAGAAAGTTTGTAAATCGAAATAGCCCTTTTTTTTAAAAAAAGATATTTCTTTATTTGTTCGACTTATACATCAAATAAATGCTTCTTCATAATCAGCAACAATTCTAAGCAGAAGATAAAGCCGTGATCCACATTTTTTTCTACCCCGTTCTAGAAAACGCCTCTGAAATAGATACCCCGTTCTAAATCAGGAGCTTCAAAATCACGACCCCATTGGGCGGCACATACCCGTATAGGTAATGTATGGGAGTGCCCCCCCCCCCCCGGGGAAAAAAAACTGAGCATAAAAAAAGGCAATTGAATCCACGGACAAACTCTGAAGAAGAATGAAATGCATCACAATCATGGTTTTTGAAAACTTATTAGCCCGTAGTTTTTCAAAGTTGACCTTTTTATTAATATTATTGTAATTACCCTTGATATGTACGGAGGCATATTTTTTTGACTCAAAGTTGCGATTTTGCTATTTAAAAGCAATTTCTTATGTTTCATGGCAAACAAGGATGCACAATTGACACTGTTAACAAAATGAACTAGACAGTAATGACACAGTACAGCCAGCTTTTAAAACTGAAAATGAACAATACACAACAATTTACATTTCTACTGTACCACTGTACTTGAAAATCAAATTGTATGCCTAGAAAAATTACCTGATAATGCTAACAAGAGCCCTACGGAATGACTCTCTGTCTTTCTTAGGTGCGTATGATGCTATCTTTTTGCCATTTGTTGCAGGGGGACTTGGGGGTGAAACTCTACCATTTCCAACATCCCATGTTTTACTCCGCATATGTTTTGCTTTTTTACCATAACCTAACAACATCAATTATAACAATAAATTAGACAACTTATATTAGCACTGTACATTAAATACATTTATTATTCATTTAAAATATTTTCCCGATTCTGATTGGCTAAAAGCGCACGTTTAATTCACCATAACCAGTCACTAATGACCAAATTTGGAAGAATTTTGTGTTTAACGAGGAAATGACGTCAAAAAAGCAGCGTTTTCACAGGTTAAGGCACCGTTAACCGCGAAGACCTGGGGACGAGGTTGAGTTGTTTTGGTTGTGAACTTAAAAAATGGCGGCCATTTCACTCGTTTCAAGAGTAAGAACTAGGCGAAAACATAGCTAAAAACATGGCAAGAACAGCAGGAAGACAACTCGAAGGGTGACATGATCTGCTATTCGGATAATATTTGCGGAGCTGGACAAACCTGAACGTGCACTATCGAAGATGAACTTAACATCGATGGATCGATGGAGGTTAGCATGTTTTGGCCATGTTTTTAAACTAGGAATTATTTTGAATGAATAATAAAACAATTATTGAATTCGGCTTTCATATCATATGAAGAATTATGGAGATCTTGGAGGGTGTTATCCGCCTCGGCCTACGGCCTCGACGGATAACACCCTCCTCGATCTCCATAATTCTTCATAAGATACTCAGCCTCATTCATTAATTGTTAAGTAACAGACATACTGGTTCTTCACCTTCCATTATTTTTTTATTAGACTGGAAATAATTTTCCCATTGGTTTTCTGTTACAGGTGATAAATGGAAAACTACACAAAAGCAGGCCATGCCAAGAATTATTAAAAGCAAATTTAAGTATGATTCTTCCTGTTTCTGCTAAAAGTCATTTTGTCAGTGATCCACTTTACATTATATACATTATACATTTCTGGGAATTTGCCCACCTCCCCTCCCCTAAGCCAACATTTTGCCCTAAGTGGGAAGTAAGTGTTATTGTTGGCTTAGGGGAGGGGTAGGTGGGCAGTTTCCCAGAAATGCCTGATCCCTAGTTACAATTATTATTAGTCCCTATAGATGTTTCCTAGTACTTCTTAAATTGTATCCTTCCATCCCCAACTTCTTATGATGATTATCTTTAATTCAGAACAAATAGACAGCTCCCCTATGATGAAAATGCAAACATTTTTCATCCCTTATCAAAGCAAAGGTCTAGCTATTCTCTATGTACAATCAAAGCCCTCTTAACTAGCACTCTCATAAGCAGACAGCTTACATTACTGCCACCTAAATGCTGTTTGAACTCTCCACTTTCCTCCTCAGTGGCAGCTTCACCTTTTCTACTCTTAGAAGGTGCCATGTAAGAGGTCTTTGACTGCATTATATATACTTTAAACTGACCCAATGCAGAATAGCCTTCATCATCTGCATCCACTGAAATTCTTTTGTTTGGACTAAGCTGGAATGAAGGAGCAGTCTGTTGCCAGGCAGGTTTACTGCGAGTCTAGAATAAAAATATAATTTTGATAACAAACAATGACTAAACATAAAAATAAAACATGTCTTTGTCCAAATCAAAAAATTCACTGCTCTTCACTGTAACATATTTTGGTTAAATGTTGCACTTTCAAAAAAGGTAAGTTAATGACAGGGACAAAAAAAATCATTTGTACTAATGCACAGTATTTTTATTTTAAATATAAGGTACTTGTACCTTAACTTTTGAAACTACAATAATTATTACACAATTGACTCCATTTCTCTCCTACCCTCCCATCCCTGACATTTGTTTTACAAGCCTAACTCCTCCCTCAAACTTGCAAGGCTCTGAGATACATGTATTTCTAGTGTAATATCATAAGTGACGAATTACTTTGGCGCGAAATTTCAGCATTAATTTGTAATTTCACATGTGAAATTACAAAATTTCCATGGCAACCCTTCCATACGTCTCAGTGTCAAGATGGCGACAAAGTTTTAAAATGCCGTGAATGAAGATGTCAGAGTATAAAAAGGCGCTTCAGAAAACCTGAACACACAAGAGAACATCAAGAAGGATTCTAACAGGTATTTTGCCGAAAAAGTCTGAACAATTCTGAACTTAATCATAACTAAAACAAAATTCTTAAATCTGATTGGCTATCAACTGCCCTGATTTCAGCCTTAATTGGACAATTAAATAGGACAGTACGCGTCATGCCTAAGTAATTGGACAGTACGCGCCATCACGCGCGCGCTTAAATGGCTTTTTTTGTTTCACTGCTAGCAAAAAAATCTCAGAATTTCTTGTCTTTTGTCTTTTGATTAAAAACAGAGCCTCATATATCACAAATTTTGTTAAAGTTATGATTAATTGGTAACAGAACTTCGTGTCGTCCAATTCGGTCTGTAATCATAATTAATCACTCGTATGATTACAGACCGAATTGGACTCCACTCAGTCCTGTTACCATTACTTATAAGCCAAATTCAAAGTCTAAACATTTGAGAGAGTGGAGTTCTCGATTGATACGATCCAGGATAAACATGTCAAAAATCCAAGATTGGTAATGTAATTCATCACCCATGATATTAATAGGTAATCAAATGGTATACTCGTGAAATTAGGGAATAATTTCACTCGTCACCATTTGATTACACATACTAATCATAACTATAACAAAATTATTCACAAATCTGATTGGCTATCAACTGTCCTGATTTCAGCACTAATACGTTTTTGTAGGACAGTGTAATAGGACAATACGTGTCATGCCTAAGTAATTGGACAGTACACACCATCAGGTGCGTGCTTACATGTAAATGGCTTTTTTCACAGCAAACAAAAAATCTCTCAGAATTTCTTGTGTTTTGATTTTAAAAAGCCTAAAATATCACAAATTATTATAGTTACGATTAACTGATAAATTATATGAAACTTTGTGTCATCCAGTTTGGTCTGAAATCATACCCGTGATTAAACAAATCAGACTCCTGCTACACAGTCGTCCTGTTTAATATTGTTTATAACTCCTTTGATTACAGTCCAAACTGGACTCCAATCAGTCCTATCATCATTATTTTCATAAGAGACAGAAGTTTACATTGCTTCTCTGATAGAAGCAAAAAACGCGCTGGTACTGCAGTCCCGGGACTGCAGTTTAATACCCATTTCCTTAAGGTGATTCCCTAGTTTTGCACTGCGCATCTCTTACTGCGCATAGCAAGATGGCTGCCGTAAAAAAGAGCATGTGAAGTAATATTATTAAAATGAAGTTGACTGAAGAGAAACGCTATTGGAATTTTTGCTTGCTGTTGTTTCTTGCTGAGGTGAGACTCAATGTGTTGGGAATGTGCATAACGTCAGCAGTACGAGTGTTGCTGAGTTCGACCTCCTCTCGGAGAACCTCGATAGTGGATGTTTAACTTGTGCTTACTCACTTTGATTTTCATTTAAACACTTTCTTTATCACATTGTGTCCTAAATGTGATATCTCGATGTAAATTCCGTAAAAACGGATTTTTTAATACTTTCTTCCCCCTTTCACATACATTCTATTTTGAAACTCGCCCCAGTCCTCTCTCAAAAATCGGAGAAAATGCGTTTGGTGCGCACTTTCTGCAGCTCTACCGCAAAAACAAGTACGGTGACCCCCATTTTTTATTTCATGATTTTAATAAGGACAGTGCTTCCTTTTGATGAGAAAAAAATTGGCACAAATCTATGTTCAGTTTTTTGGCAATTTTACTAAATTGTACGGATTGAGCCATCACGGGTCGAAAAGCGCGCGTCCAATTTAATTCTACTTTGGAGCGTAAAGTAAAAACAAGGGCATTAAAAGGCATTTTTCTGGTACGTAAGTGGATAAACAATACATTAAAGTCAAATTCTGTGTGATGTCACATGCATCATCGAAAAAATCTCTCCTTTTTGTCTAGTTTTGCGCTGCCCGCGGTTTTTGTAAAAGGGTCCTAAATAGCCGTATTTGTCAGCATTGTGACGTCAAAACGAGCACGGTGACCCCCACTTTTTATTACTTTTTTATCATCTTCTTGACTTGTTACATCAGTGTACCAAGTTTTAGCTAAAATCTATGTTAGGTTCTTTTACTATGGAATCACCTTAACAAAAAATTAATTCTAAAGAAGAGACTCACCTCTGGAAGTTGAGGAAGAAATCTGACTGGGGAATGTGGATTCCTTCCTTTATTTTGCCTTGATGAAATCTGGAGTCAAAGTAAAACGTACAAAAGCTAAAATTAATGTAGGCCTTAAAGCGTAAAACTTTAACCAGGACATAACATGTCGATCGATAATTCCGATAGTCAATAAAAATCGATCGTTGTCGATAAAAGTCGATACTAATTAATCGACAAATATTGGAAATCGATAAAAGTCAATCACAAAATTTCTTGTGATTATCGATTTTGATCTACTTTTGGTGTTAGAGTTCGATTTCAATCGACTTTTATCGAAAAGTATTGAAAGATAAAAAACGTTCATATGTAGAGCTATGTATGTTTCAATGTTTTATTTTGCACTGTAACTAGAGCTGAGTAGAGAGCTAAAACAAAGCGAATTTATCATTCTTAGTAGCCTCTGTTATCTTCCCAGTAAAAACTACAATATGAAACAACTCACTGCAACTCATCACCGAAATTATTTAGAGTTCGAACACAAACGTACCGGGAGATGTACTCCATTTGCTCCTCGTCATCCAAAGGAGAAAAGCAAAACAGGGCCGGTACAAGCCTGGACAATACAGTCGTGGATCCAGCGAACAACAATAACCGGCAATAATTGAATAAAAGTTAATTACATCTGAGTACTTTGTCTGCATTTGTTCTTTATTTATCGTAGCATTTTCCCGCTATCTCAGGGCCCTTTCAAAGATATATACATAAGGTGTGTACCGGTGCTGACCAAAACAATCACGGCACAAGACCGGAAAAAACTGCGAAGCGACAGAAACGATAGTGAACGCGAGTGGTGCAAACCAAGGCACATTTCTTCAGATTTCTTGAGCTAAACATTCGGTTGCAGATTGAAGAAGATAACATATGTTTTTTTCAGGTTTTATTGTAACTTTATTCAGCTTTATTGCCATAATCAGTGCCGTACAACCTTTTACACTCACGATGCTTATACAAAGTATCTTTGTTCACTTGACATGTCAGGGCTTGACTTTCAGAAAAAAATCTTGGGGCCAGGTGGCCTCCAAGTTTTCATTTTTGGTCGCCAGGACAAGTATTCTAGTGGCCAAAAATTGTTTATCTTCAAGAAAAAATAGAATACAATATACTAAAGGTCTTTTAATAAACCTCAACAAAATCGTCAACATAAAGTTACAGAAAGTCAATCCTGAATACAAGAGAAGACCTTCTACAAAACAGGCTACATAGCCCTTACAATAGCACTTGTTATAAGATTCATTTTTACGTATTTATGTATTCCGTTACCGTTAGAAACAGATAGCTAACGAATACCTAACGGCTTTTCTACCACTCTAACGGTTTGCCTAAAGGCTCTAATGGTTTGTTCTAACGCTCCAACGGATTGCTCTTACGATCTAACGGTTGATTCTTAACAGCTAACGGTTGGTCCATCTAACGTTTGACTTAAACTTTATTTGTAAGAGAAAATCACCAGTGATGAATTGAAGTCGACTTCCGTCAAAATTAATCTGGCAAATCGATAAGAAGGTCACAAATATCTTGGGGGCCAGCCTAGCGACCAGGCATCAAAAGTAAGTCGCCACTGAATAAAATCTAGTCGCATTGGCGACCCCATGGGTCGCAACGTCGAGCCCTGCATGATGTTGATGTCGATAGAAATCGATAAAAGTCGATACAAATCGATAGCCAGCCCTGAGAACTTTGTAATTATCGACTTTTATCGACAAATTAAACTAATCAATCGACAATTATCGAGCACTATCGACTTATCGACTAGCTTTCCGATGATCGATTACGATCGACATGTTACGTCCTGCTTTACCACACATCAGCTTACTTTCATTAGTCAGTTGCAAAATAGTTTCCGTCAAGTTTCCTATTTCTGGAGCTTTTTTATGATTTCGAGGTAGCTTCCTATCTGCAGAAATTTGACAAGACATTCTTCGCGGTGCAAGAACAGTCAATAATATTTCATTGCCTTCATCAAATTACTGCAGCAAGCGGGAAATTTCTAACACCCCCGAAATTTTAGATATTAAACATGGCACTATTAAACAAATGAAAGCATTATTCTTCACAAAAATCAAGAATCTTACATTTTTCAGGCAAAATACTCCACAACTTGTCGTACATATAAACAGAATACTACATGTACTCGTGACTCTTTAGACGAAGGTCTAAAACATGAACATAAGGTGCGTAAGACTTCAAGCTCACATACCTGAGGTTGGATGTCCATGATCAAAATTTCGATCAGAACTTGTCCATCGCAAAAAGTTTTCCTTAAAAAACCACCAGAGATCTATAGTTATACATTTAGCATAAAACCGACCTATCTTCAGCGACAAAGTTAACTCTTTATCAGCTAATCCCGCGAAAGAAAAGCACAAAAATCAAGCGAACGTCTTCGCCATTTTCTGGCCCTTGTAACTATGACAACAAATCCCATCATCCCACCAGGCAACTTATTGAGCCCAGTCTTACACGTTTTTTTGCACGCCATGCGTGAACTTACGCGCGTGTTCATTCTTTCTTTGGAACATAGCGTTTTAATGGCGGACGAAAATTAATGGTTTTTGAGCGCCAAAAAATACCACTTTCCTTAATCGCATGAAGCTATAATTTGCACACCATGTACTTCAAGTACTAAACTGCCAATCTAGCGAAAAAAAATGGTAGTCAAAAATTTGATCGTAGTAGCACTTTAATGGTATGTTAAAACTTGGCAGCGGATTCTTCTGCTGCCATTTACATTTCTCAGGAGTTGCATATTTTAATGCATAGAGTTCATAACGCAAGAGAATATGAAACTAACAAGGTTAACTGAAACAATAAACAACGTTGCTGCCTTTATTAGTCATTGACATGTAAATTAGGGGCCAGGTATTCTACATAAAAGGCGCGAAATTTAAAGTCAACCCTTTTAGCAAGTGAACTGAGAGAGAAGAAGTGAGGGAAGTACGGTATGTATATACAACGTTAGTACAAACTATGTAGCAAAAGGCAAAGAATGAGTAAGAATGGCCAAGTTTAACGACAAGACTCGATCACTTTTTCATGTACAACGTGGTCAATGTAAGAAATCGATCTGAATAAGTCGTCAACTAACAACACAACCCTGTGATCGATTTGATACGACAGAAATGAGTTCTAATTAACGAAGATCACGATTCCAAGATCAGATAACAGTACGTTGATCCATTTTCCAATGAACCTATAAAACAGTTCCGCAGGGTAGATGTCATTATACCACGATGGCAAAAATTCAAAAGGATCATGCCATATCAATCAACTATTCAATAAGCTTAAGACGTAAAATATATGGTTAAAGCGAGAAATAATCTTGCTTAGCGATCCACGCAATACCCACTTTTGAGCATTTTGAGCATCTGTTCTAAAAAAAACGCTTAATCGCAGGTTAGCTTTTCGTTAGCTTTTCGCGGCCGCCCAAAACAGACCAAAAATCTCTATGTATTAGTGCACTCAAACTTTGTTTGCTTCTTATTTTTATCATTGCAATTTTGACAGGGGAAGGGGTATTTAGTAAAGGGGAATATTATGTATTCTGAACATTAAACGGAAAATGTATAAAATAGAACGGTTTGCGGATACGTTGTACAATCCATTTCCCTGATTGTGTTGAAGTTTTAAACCTAAAAAGGCTCGACTCATTGTAATAATAGTATAAGAATTTAAAGGCTTATACCGATCCCGCAAGAACCAAGTTTGAATGTTAAAGAGAACCTCACCCTAATCCATGAGTGTTCCGGGTTATGGTACCTACTAGAATACACAAGTCATGTTTATTACATAACGCTGTACTCCTTGGAATCCAATTCAATTATTTGGACCAATTTACTGGTGACAGTGGCAGGTACTTTATGGAAAAGAGGAAATATCAGAGATTGTTAGTGTTGGACCCACGTTTAATTGTTTGAGAGTCTTTTAAGACTTAAAATTGAATGCTACTTTTTTTCGTATCTCCACAATATAGAACTGCATGATGGAAGACGAAAAGAAAAAGATGGTAAAAAAAATTGAGGAAAAACTTGAAAAGGTCGTCGAAAGTGTGGCAAGCAAAGAGGTAATTACATTCAAAACCAAACTATTAATAGTAATCATACAGTAACGAAAAAACACAAAAAAATAATTTGTCTGACAAACAACAAAGGTGTTATCAATGTGTAAGGAAATGACTTAATTATCCACTAGGAACTTTGCCACAGGAGCTCCACAAATTCAAAGTTAGGTAAATATAAATAGGAAAAATATTGACAATATTAATGAAGTAGAACTACTTGCTGTGTCACTTGAGTTATGAACAGTTTCAAAATGGTCAATGATAAAGTTGAAAAAGTTGGACAATTTTAAACTGTAACAAACAAGTACCACACCCCTGTAAGCTTTTCTGGAATTTAAGAGTAAATAAAGTTTGCATATGTACGTATTGTATGTAAGTATGTTAGTCCTTGTAATGCTTGTGATCCATTACGTGTTTCCCTTTCTATTTTAATTCAATTTCGTCTTTATTTACAGGTGGGGGAGTTTTATAGGCCAAATATCAGAAACAGAAAAGATATTGTGGCCTTAAGGCCAAACCTTTTCAACGAAAAACTGATTTCAATTGGTCTGACCCCTATTAAAGACCTTCAGAAGTCAGTACAGACGCATAAGCTGGGTATGTATTGTAAGCCAGTTTATTTTAATATATTTTTATTTCTTTTTATTATATAAACTGCAGTGTTTTACAAGGATTTCTACCACCGAGAAATGTGGTATCTGAACACTCGTAAAAATACGATATTTTTACATGTGAAATTATTGATATTTGATAGTTTGAGAACATTTTAACCATTTATCTTGTCTTTTATATTTTGAACAAGATACCGGACATTTTTAATATTTGTATTTATTTTTTAAACGGTTGATTCTTAACAGCTAACGGTTGGTCCATCTAACGTTTGACTTAAACTTTATTTGTAAGAGAAAATCACCAGTGATGAATTGAAGTCGACTTCCGTCAAAATTAATCTGGCAAATCGATAAGAAGGTCA